AGGGATTGATGTAGTATTCAGGCAGGGCTTTTTCTCCCTCTGAAGCTGTGTAAGTGGCTGTTCAGGGGATGTGGGCGTTGCTTTGCATTTTCATTCCAGCCTCTCTTTTCATAGTAGTAGCTCTACTTGCTCTGACTTCCTGTCCACAGGCCAATGTTTTCCATCTGAGGCTGACCTTGGAAACCTCTCTGTGCAACTTGTGAGCCCACCTGTGCCTCAGTGTTATACTTACAGCTGTTTTATATTTGCATATATTTGCATTTCCTGCACAAACCCAGCTTTACTGGCCTGTTTTACACTGCCAGCAGTTTCTTGCTTGTTAGTGGTGCAGAAGGGGTGATGCAGGTTTGGAGGCAAGCCTGTCCTGGAGGGAGGGAAACACTCCTTGAGAGCTTGTTAGGGCTATCCAGCACATAATTTGTGGCAGGCATCTCCCTTCCCTTGCAAATTGTGTTCAGAGGTGCTTGTCAAGTACAGGATGTCCAGTTATTGAGGTGTCAGAGTGTTATTGTTGGCCATGATGAAATGCCTGGAGAGGAGGTGACTGTAGCTGTGACTCAGGCAGTTTGTTTTGTGCTCTAAAAACACAGGACAAGCTTTTATTCGGGGTACTCGGTGTCTGTGTGACTCCTGCTCATCATTCATGGGGAATTCACTGGTGGGCTGGGTAATAAAGTATTCAGTCTTCAGTCCTTACAGCAGCTGGGTTTTTCTGCTTGTTTGTGTGCACACATTACCAGTGAACCTCAGAGTTTGGTTTCCAAGGGCCAAACCACCATTATTGTACCTTCCAGCTGTGCTTATGAGCCTCTCTCATTTAGACCCTCATTTTTTCACTGAGGGTCAAATCCTCTCAACTTTTCTGGGCTGTCTGGAAGGATGCTGAGGGTTGCAAGTGGAGTACCCCACTGCCTCTGAAAGGATTTCCTGGCTCCTGGTGACGAGTTGCTGAATTAGCTTATTATTTGACTGATTTCTATAGTGACTGTTGCCCTGGCAGCAAAGCTTAGAGAGTAAAAGCACAAACACGAGCAGGGCACAGTTTGGTTTCGGAAGGCTTAGCTTTTCTTTGCTTTGGTTGGGTTTCAAAGTACTTCAGGAGGAGTTTCAAGATGAGCAAACGGATAAGGGAGGTGGTTTTTTACTGGTTTAAGTGGATGTGGTTTTGTCTCATCAGTGTTAATTGTGAGAATTAACCATTTCTGCTTGCAAGGAGACCCAGACCTGGGCCTTGTCCTCAGCATGGGAAAAATGTGGAGCTGTTAGACACTGGATGGGCTCTAAGGTCCCTCCCAAGCCAGATCATTCCATGATTCTAAGATTCTAATCAGCTGATGATTTCATGGCTGATTTTCTTGCTCTTTAACCAAAAAGGTTGATGCTCCCACGTTTGCTCTTTATGCCCAGCTGATCTGAGAAGAACAGGTCTTGATAGGCAGGGTTGTTACAGTGCACCCCAAATTCTTGTTTAACCCTCTGATGTGGCCATGGCCAAGGTGTAGATGGAAGTGGTGGTGGCAATTACTCCCCACGTTTTGAGTTAGCACTTCAGTGTTTGCTGGCAACGGGGAATAAAGGTCCTGTAAACACAAGGAGGTTCCACCTGAGCCCTTGATGAGGTTGTTTCATCCTGCTCACTCTTGTGTGGGTATTTTGAGGTACTGGTTTTCCACAGCATCATTATTACGGTGCAGTTGGTATTGTTATGATAATCACATTGTTATTTATAATTCCTTGTCAGGTTCAGGCTCCTTAATGAGGCAGCTCTGCTGCAGATGGAGGGAATTTTTAGCCAGCCAGGCTAAAGAACCTGTGTCAGAGCTGGGGCGATTTGTATGTGCCTCATCCTCGTGGGCATGTGGCCTGGCTGCAGCTGACCTGGTCCCCACCTTCTGTCTTCAGCTTGTGTGGAGAGCAGACCTTTTGTGGTCCCCCATAGTTTCTGCAAACCACACCCCATCAAGCCTTCATGGATGCACCATAGGGAATGAGGAATTTTTAATGTGACAAGCTGGAAGGTGTGAGTAAAGAAGCTTTTTGCCTATTCCTCCCCCATTAGACAGGCTGTGAAAACAGGCTTGAATAAGAAGTGGTGTTAAAAATTTTAGTTGGTTTTCCTCATTTTAACTCTCAGTGAAAACAACTCATCTCCATGGCCTGTGTCCTTGGCAGAGGATTACCTTTCCTCCTGTATCATTTACTCTACTTTTACAAAAGGTGCTTGATAGAGATGTACACTGGTGGTGTGAGAGCACATTTTGGAACTGATGGTAGTTTCCAGCAATATTGCCCAAACCTGCAGTTTTCCTGCAGGACACACTTTTGTTGGTTTTTGTCAGGCTGCCAGGCCAGGTATCCTGGGGTCACACCAGCATGTTGGGACTCTTGTACCAGTATCCAAGTGCTATTTGCAGCTGGCAACAGATTTTTTTCCATCTGGAACTCATCGTAGAACCTGCTGGAAGCTTTGCTGGAATGTAATCAGTGAATGGTTTAGGTTGGAAAAGCCCTCTAAGCTCATCAAGTCCAACCATTCCCCCAGCACTCCCAAGGCCACCACTAACACATGTCCCCGAGTGCCACATCTACAAACGTTTTAAATCACTCCAGGCAGGGATGGTGACTCTGCCCCTGCCCTGGGCAGCCTATTCCAGGGCTGGACAACCTTTTCCATGGATAAGTTTTTCCCAGTATCCAATCTAGACCTTCCCTGGCAGTGGAGATGTAGTTTGGAGGTTGGCTACAGGCTCCTGAGCTGTGTCTTTGGGATTCCAAATCCTTAATTAAAAATGTTGTCAGGACGGACAGGAAGCTTTTCTGTCAGTTCAGGGATTGGGGAAACTGGGATTTAGGCACTCCAGTGTTGAAAACTCAAAAGGTTTAGTTGATACTGGCCCACCTTGTGTGCCCACAGACTGCTCAGAGAGCCCCAAAGCCAGGCGGGATGGCTGCTGCAGGCAGGGGGAACAGCATTAAAAATAAATAACTTTGGCTTTGTCGTTGTGAGGCACCATCCTGGGAAACAACAAGAAGTCTATTAGGATTGTCTGTTGGGAATTTGTGCTGCCAGAGCTGGGATTTGAAATGAGCACATGGAGATGAGCAGGTGGAGCTGAGCTGCTGCTCAGTCCTGGCCTTGTAGGAGCTTCTAATGTGGGTTACCATGCATAATTCAGGCCATCCTTTTTCCATGTTCAGAGCTCTGTAACTAAATACTGATTTGCTAAACACAACTTGAATAATGAAGCAATCTGTGGCTTTAAAGCCTTCCTCAGTATTGAAAGAAAAGGAAGCAAATAGAGCTGTATCCTCACTTCTGCTTTAAAACAACACAGATATGCACAAAGTGGAAGAGTCATATTCACCCCTGCTTCCTCCATGGATTTAAATGTGTGCACATTCCTGGTGTGTCCAGGAGGTGAGAGGTGGCCTTTCCAAAGTACTGCCAGTCCTTCCATCCAAGGCTTTTTCTTTTCTGTACCATCACAGTTCCTTCCATGGAAAAACAAGTTAAAAACTGCACCTTTTGTTTCTTGCTGAGCTTAGAGGTAACAGGTCAGAAAATGAATTGATGTGCATTGTGGTGGTGTTTGCATAGGAGTAAAGCTCTGTATCTGTTCTGAGCCACTTCAGCTCAAATCATGCCAGTAGGGTAAATTATTTTGGTTTTCCTCAGTCACAACTTTGCTCCCTTTGATGAAATACAAACACTTGGGAACCTAGTAAGAGGCTAAAAATATTCTTACAGCTGATAAAGGCTTGGTTTGACTTCTGAAAGTATGAAGTGGTTTTTTTTTCCCTGTGCTGTTACCTTCTCACTTCATGTTTATGAGCTGCAGCAGAGCACGTGGTCTGTGGGATGGTGGGGCTTCCACTGCTTTCCTCTCCTTGCTCTGGGAAGGAGCAGTTTTGGTTTTTGGTTCAATAAACATCTCAGACATGAGAATTTGCTGGTGGTGGTCCCTGCCATCACTACGTTGTTTGCTGTACATGTCTCAAAAATTCAGGAGGAGATTCCAAGCAAGTAACTTGTGTGTGCTTGTAACTTTTGTACTTGAAGCAATCAGCTTTTCTAAGCTATTTCTGCAATTCATTGAGTATAGAAGTTTCTTACCTAGTTCCTCTTTTTTTTTTTTTTTTTTTTTTTTTTTTTTTAATTAACCATTCCTTCTGGTTCCTTTTTTTCTTTCTCGGGTAGACAACATTTCTTTGAATTGGAGCAGTATACACTGCTTTACCTCACACAGCTGCTATATACTTGCAAACCTAAATGCTTCAGTTTATTTTCAGGCTAATCTGCTTGATTATTGATTTTCCTGCTGCTCTTTTGGCCCAGAGAGTAGATCCTTGATTACCTACATAATTTTTTAGTGTTGATAACTGTATGTGGCACCTGGAGGAGTTGTAGGGTGGGTTGGATGGGGCTTGGAAGCTGGTCTAGTGGAAGGTGTCCCTGCCCATGGCAGGGGGTGGAATGGGATGAGCTTTAAGGTCCTTTCCAACCCAAACCAGTCTGGGATTCTGTGACTTTATGATTTTTGCCTTGCAGAAAGAAAAACAGGTTTTGTATTCAATCACTGGTGCTACACATTCCATTAAGGTATCAGTCTGTAAGGGGTAGAAGAGGTTTCTACTGCAAATAACATCAAACATTTGCTCTGTAGCTCCTTAAATCCATGAGTATGATGATTGTAAGAGGAGTTTGGGTGCTGCTCATGGCCTAGAGCATTGAAATGGAAAATGTAACAAATACAGAGCAGGAGGGAAGCTTCCTACAGCTGCAAAGTGGTGTTAAATCTTTTAAGAAACCAACAGCGAGCTTGGGAAGGACAGTGCTGTGTGTACAAGGCTGGAGCTCAAATCTGCTGCTCTTTTCCCTCCGGAGTCTGTTGTCCATCCCAAGCACAGCTGGTTTGGTGCAGGAATTTTGGCTTTGGCCATGACCTGCAGGCTAATTGCCGTGCTAATGCCTGGTTCTGTGTTTTTGTCCCCCTCCCCAGGAAGAAGAATGCCAGCACGAAGATGAAGTAGAGCGTTTCCTATGCTGGCCGCACGCTGGTGTCGGCTGGGCAGGGACGGGCTCTCGCTCTGGCCAAACCCATTCCAGGGACAAGATGAAGCCAAGGAGGAGCTTCCCACCACGCTGGAGCCTCAGTGACTGCTGCCCACTTTTTTAAAACCCATGTGCCACCGTCCCTGGCGAGATGAAAGAAGTGGTGCTGTGGTCACCCGAGGAGGTGACCAGCTGGCTGACGGACAATGCCGTGCCGGAGTACTGTGAGCCCCTGAAGAACTTCACCGGGCGGGACCTCATCAACCTGACGGAGGAGGATTTCAAGAAATCCCCTCTGTGCCGGGTGTCTTCCGACAGCGGGCAGCGGCTGTTGAACATGATCGAGGGGCTGAAGATGGCTCACCACATGGAGGCTCACAAGAACGGCCACGCCAACGGGCACGTGCGCGCCGGCGACGCCGCGCGCCAGAACGGCTTTGGCGCCGCGCTCAAGCTCAATGGGGTCCCCAACGGGTTCAAGAAGGAGATGATCAAGATCCCCATGCCGGAGCCGGAGCGCTCGCAGTATCCCATGGAGTGGGGCAAGACTTTCCTGGCTTTTATTTATGCACTTTTTTGTTTCGTCTTCACCACGGTGACTATCTCGGTGGTTCATGAACGAGTGCCTCCCAAGGAGGTGCAGCCTCCCCTCCCAGATGCATTTTTTGATCGCTTTGATCGGGTGCAATGGGCTTTTTCTATTTGTGAAATCAACGGCATGATCCTTGTAGGACTGTGGTTTGTTCAGTGGCTGCTCTTAAAATACAAGTAAGTAAAACCTTTTCAAAACTTGTGTGCTTCTGACAGCTTTTGGAGGGCAGATGCTGGTTTGCACCCAAACAAAATGATGCTTCTTGTGATCTTCTTATCTCAGTTTTGAAAGGTGAGGTAGCACGCAGTGTGAGCTGCTTGTGCAGAAGGCAGAGCTCCACATGTTCCCTGAGAAACTGGGCAATGCCCCTGCTCTTGTTTGCCTGCGTGGTTAACTCAAACCTTTTTCATGGGTGAAAAGCTGTGGATTGGATGAAGTGATGTTCTGAACTCACTGTTTGTTCTGAGGGAGCACAATTCATGTTCTTGTGAACCTGGACCCAAGGGAATGGCTGGAGCTGGGCCAGGAGGGTTTAGGTTGGATTTTAGGGAAAGGTTCTTCCCCCAGAGGGTGCTGGGCACTGCCCAGGCTTCCCAGGGAATGGGCACAGCCCCGAGGCTGCCAGAGCTCCAGGAGAGTTTGTGCAATGCTCCCAGGGTGCACATGGTGGGATTATTGAGGTATCTGTGCAGGGACAGGAGCTGGATTGATGAAGTGATGTTCTGAACTCACTGTTCTGAGGGAGCACAACTCATGTTCTTGTGAACCTGGACCCAAGGGAATGGCTGGAGCTGGGCCAGGAGGGTTTATGTTGGATTTTAGGGAAAGGTTCTTCCCCCAGAGGGTGCTGGGCACTGCCCAGGCTTCCCAGGGAATGGGCACAGCCCCGAGGCTGCCAGAGCTCCAGGAGAGTTTGTGCAATGCTCCCAGGGTGCACATGGTGGGATTATTGAGGTATCTGTGCAGGGACAGGAGCTGGATTAGTGATTCTTGTGGGTCCCTTCCAGCTCAGCATATTCCATGATTTTAAACCCAAGGGAAACAGCTAGAGGAGGGTGGTGTGGGGTTGCCCTCAGGAAGGAGATGTGGGGTTAATAGGGCCATAGCAGGGATCAAACACCCTGTGGTGGAGCTGAGCAGAGCCTGTAGTTGAGGAACAGCAGAATCCTTGGAGATTTTGAAGCAGTGAGATGTGGGTTGAGGGTAACATACGTGTATTGGTGTCACTGGTAGATGTGAAGGTTTCCCCCTACCGTGTCCCCATTTGCTTTGGGGTGTTTGTTTTTATTTATGTTACAGAATCACACAATGTTAGGGGCTGGAAGGGACCCTAAAGGTCATCCCATTCCAACCCCCTGCCATGGAAGTCCCCTTTGGAAAGGCCTTTTCTGGTGTTAGGGGAAGATGCCAGGGAGTCCCAGAGCTTGGTCAGTCTATGCACTGATCATGGAATGTTTCAAGGACCAAAATCCCTCTTTTCTATCCCTGAGCGGAGGGATCAAGGTCCCAGAGGCCCAAGCTGTGGCTGAGCAGCAGAAAGAGAAGAGCAGGAGAAAGGGAAGAGCAGGAGAGGTGCTGGCAGGAACAGGAGCCCAGCGAGGTGGCTTCATGTGGAGGATCTTGTTCTTGTGGTTTTGGATGGGGCACACCGTAGGGGTGGTGACTCAGTGCTACAGAAAAGCTGAATCCCTTTTGTGGTGGGGTTATCACCTCCCTCTGAAACCTAATTCAGGAATAAAGGGAGGGCATTGGGCCACATGGGCCTTCCTCACTTCTGCTTCCTCATCCCTGGAGGTATCCAGGGCCAGGTTGGACAGGGCTTGGAGCAACCTGGGATAGTGGAAGGTGTCCCTGCCCATGGCAGGGGTGGAAGGGCTTTAAGGTCCTTTCCAAGGCAAACATTGTGTGATTCCATGATTCTAATGCAGTCCATGGCATGGGATTGGGCTGGTATCTCTCCAGAAGACAGGAGCAGGTCTGGCTGGCCACTCTGGAGCTCAAGGAGGCTGCTGAGGGAGATGAACTTCCCTGGGAAGCATTCCCAGATGCTGTGGGAGAAGCACAGTGCCAAGATTGGCCATGTGTTTGGCTCATGGGGCTGAAGGAGCAGCGTGCTCCCTGCTGAGGTCTGCAGAGCTGGGATGGAGTTCTCTGGGCCGGGAATAAGTGTGGAGGTTGTACTTACTGGCTGGTTCTGAGTCTCACACTCACACAAATCCTCCTGGGGGAAAGGGAAATACGAGGCTTTTTGCATTTATTTTTACTTTATATTACAGTGCAGAGCTTTCTCAGATTTTCCCAAGTTAAAATATGCCAAATCCAGCAAAATCAAGTGGTAGTTTTAATTTTAAAAAGAAGTTCAGCCCACGGCAGGGGGTGGAATGAGATGATCTTGAAGGTTTCTTCCAATCCAGACTGTTCTTGGATTCTGGGAATGCCAGAACCTGCAGCTTGAAATGGCCATAAGTGCAAAGAGCAGTGATTTAAAATGAACCAAACCCACAGGGTCTGTAGCACACAAAGGGTGATTGCTGTAATTGGATTCACACCCAGTTTCTGTAACCCTGGCGGTGATCTCTCCTAAGGATCTTTCCAGAGGTTGCTCCTGTTCTGGTGGATGTGCCAGGAGAGGTTTGTTTTTCTTGGAGGTGTTTTCAGGTGTTACCCCAGGGGGGCAGTTCTGGGGCTGGCTGTCCCTCCTGAGCCCACCCTGTACCCCGGGTGCTCGTGCTGGTTTTGCAGAAGCACCTCACAATACCCCAGATCTGCATCTGCCCTCTCTGTGAGCATCAGCCCTCACTAATCAGTGTCTCTGCAGCTGTGGCTGCTGAGTGGCTTCCCTGCAAACACCCTGTCCTGCAGCCAGGGCAGCTCTGCATTTTTATTGGGGAGCTTTCCTTGCTGATGTGAACTGCTTCCTTTATAATGCTGCACAGGAAAGATGTGTTCTCTCGCTCCTCTGGGTTATATAGGAGACCCTTTGTAATCACTAACTTGTGTGTCAGCTGAAATAAACTAAGTCCTTTTCATCTCACAATGAAAATCCTGTAACTTTATCCCCTGCCTTGAATGGGAAATCAGTGACTGGCCGCAGCCAATGGAGGGGTGTGGGGCATGAAATCCCCTTTAATGTCTTCAGCACCCAATCTGCACAGGCTTTGGCCTCCTAATCCTTAGATTTTCCATATTCACCTTCAAAGGCAGTGTGAGTTGTGTTGCTCCTGTATTCCTGGCCTGGAAGGCGTGGGAATATTTGTGGAGTGGTTCAGCATTCCCAGGTGTAAGCCGATAGTGTCACGAGTTTCCAAAGCGTCAGGAGAAACCAGCTGCTGCTTTGTTTTATTTACCTTTGTGGATTTTGTTTGCCTTGAGCACCTCCTTATTTGTGCCTGTTTTTTTCTCCCTGCCAGGTCTATAATTAGCAGAAGATTTTTCTGTATTGTTGGCACACTATACCTGTACCGGTGTATTACCATGTACGTGACTACACTCCCAGTACCTGGAATGCATTTCAAGTGTTCTCCAAAGGTAAATCCCTCCTTATCTGCCTGTTTCCCCCTCATCCTCCTCTTCCCAAAACTGCTTTCTCAGTAAATGTTACTAAGGGAGGGGATTCTGCCCCTGTGCCCTGCTCTGGTGAGAGCCCCCTCAGAATTCTGTGCACAGTTCTGGTGCCCCCAGCATAAGGAGAGCATGGAACTGTTGGAGCAGGTCCAGAGGAGGCCATGGAGCTGCTGAGGGGTCTGGAGCATCTTCCCTGTGGATCCAGGCTGGGAGAGCTGGGAATGCTCAGCCTGGAGAAGGGAAGGGTGTGTGGAGACCTCACAGCTCCTTCCAGGGCCTGAAGGGACACAGGGGAGCTGGAGAGGGACCCTGCAACAGGAACTGGAGTGACAGGACACAGGGAATGGGTTCAGACTGCCAGAGTGCAGGGATGGATGGGATATTGGGAATTAGGAATTGTTCCCTGGCAGGGTGGGCAGGCCCTGGCACAGGGTGCCCAGAGCAGCTGTGGCTGCCCCTGGATCCCTGGCAGTGCCCAAGGCCAGGCTGGACATTGGGGCTTGAGCAGCCTGGGGTAGAGGAAGGTGTCCCTGCCCATGGCAGGGGTGGGATGGGATGAACTTCAAGCCCAAACCAGCCCAAACCACTCTATAATTTTAATTTGAGAGCGCTGGTTTGGTGTGACAGGGACTCCCTTCTGCATGTCACTGGCTGCCCTCTCAGTGGAGGTGCTTGGGGCAGTGCAGGGATTCCCACCCTTTTCAAAGCACTGAGCTACCCAAATTCTGTGGCATTTTCAACTAATTTGCATGATCAGCGTGTTCCTGTCCCCACTGAAGCTGTTGAAGCAACGTGCAACCTTTGCCATGTGTGAGTCACTGATTTCTAAATAAATACACACCTCAGTGTGTCAAATCCAAATATGATTCGTGGTTGAAAATGGCCCAGAGGGACTTTCCTAAGGCTGTCTGCTGCACATATTTTTGCAATTCTGTTAGCACAAGGACTTCTCACCTCCTCCCCAGTCCAGCCCTGACTCCCAGAGATAAATTAGGCTTGTGAAAGCCGTGGCTGAAACCAGGCTACTGGGGCAGAGGTGTTGACCCTTGTGGTCAGCCTGGAAGGGTAATTCACGTGCTCAGGGTGGAGATGGGACAGAGCTGCTGGTGTTGCATCCACCCCTGGTCACTCCAGCATTGCTGGAATCCTGGTCCTTTCTGCAATTCCTGGGGCTGGTTGTGCAGTGACGCAGTTGAAGCAGGAGAAAGGGCAGAAGCACAGCCATAAATCAGCTGGCAGGTTGTAAAATCACTGAGGTCCAGGCAGTAAAATCCTGATTGGACTTGATCCACATGCTGAGGTACAGGTAGTAAAATCCTGATTGGACTTGAACCATGTGCTGTCGTTGTTTTGGTGAGGATTGGCACATCCAAACAAAGCTTTGGTTCCTCAGGGAAGTCCAGCCAAGGCAGAACATTTGTGGTTTTTGGAGGGATTTTGGAAAGAGAAGTGAGTGGGAGAGGATTCAGCACTGTGCTTGAACAGCCTGCTGCTAGGAAATTAAAAAAGAGAGAACACAGGTATTTATGGGCTGAAGTGAATAAATCTGCCTGTTTGGGGAATTTGGGGAATTTATGGTGTTGGCAAATCCTTCTCATTACTCAAGTAGAGACAAGCTGAGGGCCCTGATAAGATTAAGGAGTTTTCTTGAAAGCCCTAAATGTACTGGTGGGAAAAGAATAACCTCTCAACACCTTATTGAGTTCTGTGTGATTGTGAAAAGTGGGCTTTGGGGAGCAGTTTAGTGTTTGTGAGCAACTGTTAGCAGGAAGTGTTTAATTCCTGCAAAGAACATGCTCCACTCTGTCAGAAATTATTAATTTCCACTTCTTAAAGCAAGGCCAAGATTTAAAATAAAAACTTAATGGCCAGCCTGGGGGGAGTCTGTGTTTCCTTCTGACAGTGTAGTGGTTTCCATGGATTTTCAAACACCATAAAATGAGGTGAGGATGCAGCACAGGTGTATATTGATCCATTAGTCCCTGCTTCCTGATGGGTGCCAGAGGTTCTCCGCACATCCTGGTTGTCCCATGGCATACTTTTTTTTGTGGATTTGTTTAATATTTGGCCTTGGCTAAGAGCTGAGAGCAGCAAAAGTCTTGGGCAGTGCCAGCTGCCCTTGGTCACTCGGGAGAGGGAGCAGAGTGTCCTCTGGGAAGGAATTGGTTTGCTGGGATTTGGCTTTCCTTGGGCAAACAGAAGCTTTTCCAGGAATGCTCTGTGAGCCAGTGGCTGGGGGTGGGTCAGAGCAAATCTGGCTGTGGAGGGAGATCCCTGTTTGTGCTGCTGTGGATTCAAAGCACAAGTCTGGCCCCGTGCTCTGACAGACAGCACACATGTTTCTGTTGGAGTGGGAAGCAGGAAGAAATAATCTAACAGACTTTTCCAAGGCCTTGGGGTTTGGAGTGAGATGCTCTTGTGTCCATCAGATCCTGACTTTGGCAGCTGGCTGTTCAGTCTGGGCAGTTCCTCCTGGTTTCTGTTGGAGGATCACCAGTAGGGCCTGTGCTGTTACCAACAACATGAACTAAATTAAACCTCATTTATTTTAGAGTGTGCTGCCTCTGAACAGAAGGAAAATCTCACCTGAGCACCAGCTACAAGAGGTGCAAAGCATCAAAACACTCGTGTCTCATTTCCAGTCTTTTTCCTGCTGGAAATGTGCTGTCAGCTTTTGGGAAAGGCTGAGGATTTATTTATCTGCTGATTGATCTTGTGGATCAAAGCAGAAGGGGAGGAGAATGTGGCATTCACATTCTCTGAAAAATCCCTTCGCCCAGGATTTTTCTCCTGGGAAGCTGAGAAGCCTCAGAGAAAAAGGAAAACAATTCTTATCTCAATGCTTCTCCTGTGTTGTGCTCACATGTGGAATGTGGTTGGAGGTTGTTTACCCACAGGTGATTGTTTCATTGGGTTCTGCTGTGAATGGTTTTGACTCTCTGGCCAATTGGGGCCAAGCTGTGTCAAGACTCTGGAAAGAGTCATGAGTTTTCATTAATAGCTTTTGAGCATTTAGTAGGCATCCTTTTTGTATTCTTTAGTATAGTTAGTATAGTATTCTTTAATATAATATAGTATTATAAAGTAACAAATTGGCCTTCTGAGAACATGGAGTCAGATTCATCATTCCTCCCTGCCATGGGGATCCCTGCAAATACAATAGAGAACTGAAAGGCCAAATTGCTGCTTAAAACCATTGCTTGAGCTGTGATATTTTACTGTGCTTTTGTGTTTTGCTGTCCCACCAGCTCTTTGGAGACTGGGAATCCCACCTGCGAAGGATAATGAAGTTGATTGCTGGCGGAGGCTTGTCCATCACGGGCTCCCACAACATGTGTGGGGACTACCTGTACAGCGGCCACACCGTCATCCTAACCCTCACCTACCTGTTCATCAAAGAGTGTGAGTGCCCTGCTGCCCTCCTGCTGGGTGCTTCCTTCCTGACTGAGGGCTTTCTGTTGTGCTCATGAGCACAGTTCCAGTTAAAATATCTGCGTGTTCCATGGTGAGAGGAAACGGCCTCACGCTGGGTATTAGGGGAAAATTCTTCACCAGAGGGATTGTAAGGGTTTGGGTTGGGAGGGACCTAAAAGCCATCTCATCCCACCCCCTGTCATGGCAGGGACACCTTCCACTGCCCCAGGCTGCTCCAAGCCCTGTCCAGCCTGGCCTTGGGCACTGCCAGGGATCCAGGGGCAGCCACAGCTGCTCTGGGAATCTGAACCAGTGCCTCCCCACCCTCCCAGGGAACAATTCCTTCCCAAAATCCAATCTAAACACAAGCAGGTTGATTTGACTGGCCAGGGTATATTATATCTTTCTCAATTACCCCTGAGTACAATTTTAAGTTACACCTTAAGAGAGTGATACTTATTTTGTGATCTCAGCATTCCTGCTCTTAATCTCAGCACAGGCATCTCTGTGTCAGCCAGGATTGCAGTCCATGACCTCTGCTAATCACAGCAATAGTGCTGATAAGCTTCCACTTGGGAGAGTAACCCCTGCTTGTGCTTCTTTGCAGATTCCCCACGGCGACTCTGGTGGTACCACTGGCTCTGCTGGGCGCTCAGCATGGTGGGGATGTTCTGCATCCTCCTTGCTCATGACCACTACACTGTGGACGTGGTGGTGGCTTACTACATCACTACAAGGCTATTCTGGTGGTACCACACAATGGCCAACCAGCAAGTGAGTTCCTCCCACTCCCTGGATGCTCCTGCTCTAGCCTGGTGGGGTGAGAATATCCAGGCTCACCCATGTCCTGTGGAGAGTCCCTCTCTTCCTCCCAGCTGTTGGGTTTGCAGAGGAGAAAGAGGCATCATTCTTTGGGTTCTTGACCACAAAAATATGGGAAGGGCTTCCCAAAGGCAGGCAGGACTCTCCCACCCTGGGGTAACCTCAGTTTTTTGAAGTCTTCTGAATTTGGGCCAGGTGGTCACGTTTGTGACAGAACAACAAACCATTTAGATTATTTTGCCTTGGTTTTGTTTAGTTTGGTTGTTGAGGCCAGCTGGGGTTTTCCTGTGTTCTGTGGCTTGTGCCACAGGTCTCTGGAGGTACAGGAGGAGGCCTCAGCTAAAAAGAAACTGGTTTTTGATAGTGTTTCCAGGGCATGGAGAGTTCTCCTGGCTGGTGAACTGGAACATCAGGGAGGAGCTGACACTGCTGAGGAAAGTGAAACCTCTGCTGTGCCAGGGCAGGGTCAGGCTGGAGATCAGGAAAGGCTCTTCCCCCAGAGGGTGCTGGGCACTGCCCAGGCTCCCCAGGGAATGGGCACAGCCCTGAGGCTGCCAGAGCTGCAGGAGAGCTTGGACACTGCTCCAGGGATGCCCAGGGTGGGATTGGTGGGGTGTCTGGGCAGGAACAGAGGCTAGGAGAGCTTGGACAGCGCTGCCAGGGATGCCCAGGGTGGGATTGTTGGGGTGTCTGGGCAGGAACAGAGGCTGGATCCATGATCCCTGTGGGTCCCTTCCAGCTCTGCATGTTCCATGATTCTCTGAGAGGAAATGCACAAGTTTTTTGCCACGGATAGTGGACAAGGGAGTTAAGAGACATTTTTAGGTCCGTAGCAGCATATTGGTGCCCAAATATTTTCTGTGCTCATGGTCAAAGATCTTTTGCTTATCTGTGGCACATGCTGTTAATTATGTGTAATAAAGATCTCTTACAATGGTAGAAGAGGAATATATATTGTGACAGTGCAGTTTTTTAGATCCTATCACAGAATCATCATGGGCTGGAAGGGGCCCTAAAGGTCATGGTCACACCTCCTTATTCCACTGCTCTGGTGCTGCCTGAAGCAACACACCACAGCCAGGCCTTGTGGTGCACTTCTAGCCAAGTGCCTGACTGCAGATTAGGTGCCCTTTGATGCTCAGTCAGCTTGGGAGGCACTGTGTTCTGTGCCCATGCTCTGCAGCTCTTGTCACACGAGAGCTGAGGATTCCACACACAATCCAGAGGATTCCACGCTTTCACTCTGCTCCTGGGCTCTCAGAGCAGTGGTACTTCCAAGCTGCAAGTGCTGGAGTCAGGAGTGCCCCCAGTCCTACTGAGGAATTGCTTCAGCAGAGCTTTGGTGTGGAAATGTTCCTGTTCTGCCACCTGATGTGCCTGGGGAGGTGGCTCAGCACTGCTGCCCTGAGCTGCCAGGATGTTGGGAAATGCCAGTCCCTGGCTCCTTCCCTGTGCACACATTGGTGTGCTGCTCTCTCCTTCCTCATGCTGGGGCTTGTGCCTGGCCTTAAAATTAAAAGCAACAGTGGATTTATTTGACACCTGAGCTTGACATGGAGATGAAGCTCAGTGTACAAGCCCTGTGCTCGTGTGTTGCCTTTGGGGGGTGGATACAGGGATCCCTGGCTCTGGCATGGATAATGGGCAGCAGGGGGGGAGTTGGATAATTCCCTTGGGGCCTGCCTGCTCTGTGTGTCCGTGGGCTGGGGCTTGCTCGTGGCTGAGAGAAGCAAAAGCTAGGTGGGAGCAGTCTGGGAGCGTGTGGAGGGCAGGGCAGGGTTCTGATCTACAGATGGGTTGGGACGTGCCCTGCTCATGGCTCCATGTTGCAGTAAGGTAGAGAAATTATAAAGAAAAGCCTTATAAAATCAAGCCTGCTCTGGCTGGCCTGTCATTTCTTCTAAGTCAGGCTAGCCCTTTGCAAGTTCCCACGTGAAAGCAATCCTGGGGTGAGCAGTTTGTTAGCATAACAATCTATCACTGGGTGAAAAACAACCAGCACCTGTATAAACTGTTTTTACACAGTCAGATAGAAAAATGGAAACTATCTCTCACAAACAACTTTTCCTGCACATACACACTGAGAGTTTGAGTGACCAATCAACACAGAATAACAACTTGTTACTAAAGTGAGAGAGCTACTGACCAATTGGAGTCACACAGGAGGTCTGTAAAACTGTATAAAAAGGAGTTGTGTGAATAAAGAATGGGATTTTTCCTCCATGAAGAAAATGGAGTCCTGTGTGATGTATTCCCATAGCTCCACAGGCACACAGCCAGGCCCCAAAGTGATTCCTGATCCCCATGGAATTCCAGAGGCACTTACAGAGCCACCTGGGACATCCCTACAGAACATCCTGCTTTGGGATGGCGTTTTCATCCCCAAAGGAGAGCAGACACCCATCCTTGGGCCACTCATTCCTTTCCTGTGGGCCCATCAAACAACTGGGGTCCTGTAGGCAGGGCTGAGCAGGTTTGGTGTGTGCAGGGAGGTTGGGATCTGTCGGGGAGGTGAGATTTTGGGAGCAGCAGGAGAGCACGGAGGAACGGCGGCGAGTGAAGTGGTGCGAATAAAGGACCTGCCCTTCAGCAATCCTCTTTTTGTCCTCCTCCCCCTGCAGGTGCTAAAAGAAGCTTCCCAAACGAACCTCCTTGCAAGGGTCTGGTGGTACAAGCCCTTCCAGTACTTTGAGAAGAATGTCCAAGGAATTGTACCTCGCTCCTACCACTGGCCCCTGCGGTGTCCGGCGCTGGCGCGGGGCCGGCAGGTCAAGTACAGCCGCCTGGTGAGTGACACGTAACAGTGTCACCAGAGCCCCGAAAGGACCTGTCCCAAGTGCTCACAACTCCAAGAGAAGATGCCATAAACAAAAATCCACCGCTCCCTAACCCTTTCTTTAGCAGCTCCCTGGACCTGACCTGTTCAGTTACCTGGTAAGCACTGTGATCTTTTTTTCTCTCCAAAGGATCTGCGTTGGACAACAATAAAGAGAATTTAACTGATCATGCACTGTTATACATTTCTTGTTGATAGAGTTGGGATTTGCATTTGCCCATCACCATGTTCCTTTGTATATGATGCGACAACATAGATGAAAAGCTTTTATATCATAAGTTCTGGTCTTTCCAGTCACGTCTGGGAACAAAGCATATTATTTTCTTGGGAAAACATACTTTTCATATCTCTTGCCCCAAAGATTGGGCTGTAAGCCATTTTCTAGCAAATGACTATATGAAGGTTTCTAAATATCTGCCTTGGGTGAAATCAAGAAATCTTTCTACCTGTTGCACCGCGCTACGAATAAGATGATAGACACAGAAAGGTTTGGTAAATCCTGATTTTGTAGATTCTGCAGTGACTGTGTCAAAAAAGTGCAAAAATAAAAAAAAAAAAAAAAGAAAAAAAAACAAAAAAAAAAAAAGAGAGAAAAAATGTAAAGTGATTTTCTAAGTATTTCCTAACTTTATTTTTCAAAATGTGTATGAAAAAAAAATTAAATTTAAAAAGATTTTTACATGTCAGAGAGTAGAGAGTTAAAAAAATTTAAAGAAAATGCTTCTTGGGAGAGAGAGAGATTTGTCTATGTTTCTAGTGCCTTTCTTGTCTTGATTGTATGGTCAGTAGGCAGTCTTAAATGTTTTTATTTAAAATAAAGTATTCCATGAAAGCAGAATTATATATACTGTATAATTACTAATTTTTTGCATTTATAGCTAAATTAAACTGGAAATTTGCTTATAATGTTGAAATTGCCACGTGTAGGGAAAAACCTCCCACCCCACCAAAAAAAAAAAGGGTCCGACCTTGCTCACACATTGTGGGCAGGTCAAGCTAAAAAAGTATCACTTTATTGTCTACTTGGTAGCTGGGTTTTAAAAAGCAAAACAGCCATGAATTCCTGTTTTTTAAGAATTTTACAAACGATCACTGAGTGAACTATGAATGGTTTCTCCATGCCCTTGTCAGAGTGTTGTTGAAAAACAACAAAGATAATCTATTTCTTTAAAATATTTGTGCAGAAACTGCATGTAATTCTAAGTTTCCACTCCTACCATACATACTGTATGTTTGGGGAAGTCTCCTATCCTAAACTTGCCAATGTGCAGAACAAAAATAGTTTTTATAAAAATAAAAAGAAGAATGAAGAAGAGAAAAATATATATATAAATATATATATATATATATCCATTCTGTATTTTACGTGAAGCAGAGTTATCTTCTGTAGGTTTTTTGTGTATTCACAAGGTGATATTTGTATTGTAAAACAACAATGGTGAAGGAAAATAAAAAAGGCTTTTGAAAAATGTAGTTTCCCTTATCTTCTTAATATTCAGTTGCAATTTAAAGCTGGGTTTATTCTTCCAAACCTTGCCTTTAAGTTGATGTTATTGCACTGTAGGCCATCCTGTATGGAAACTGCATTGATGTGGAATTGCTGTTGGGCAAAACAGTGCCTTATGTGAAATAAATGCTATGCAATCGATGCCGAGCGGGCGGGAGGAGCCTTCCTGGGAGCCATCTCCAGGCCTTGAAAAATCTACCCTGCAACTGCTGGGATGCAGCACAGGGCAGGGTGGGCATCCCTTCCCCCAGGAGCTGCCAGTGCTGGCCCCTGGACACCAGAAAAAAAAAGAGAAGAGAAGCCAATTTCTGCGCGTCCGTGGTGGTGAAAATGACTTTTTTTTCCTCATTTCCTTTTTTTTTTTTTTGTTGGGGATGTTTTATCTCTGCCTCTCTGCCCTGTTCCTCAGCCTTGGCCAAAACCCTGGAGAGCTGGTGGGGTGCTGCTTCTGCTGCTCTGCCTGGGGATGCTGACCAGGGGCAGCTCATTCCTTATCAGTTCTGTCCCCCTGGGAGGGAGGGAAGGAGGGAGGGGTTCCGTGGCCAAGCCCTTTGCAACAGCATTTGCAGAGCTGGGTGGGAATTCAGGGCTCAGCTCTGCCAGCTCTGCCTTCAATTCACGGCTTTTTGGGGCTAAAAGTCGGTTTTTCAACAGTCCAAGCCCAGCCCAGCTGGTTTTTGAGCTGATTTTTGAGAGAGTTGGCGCTCCCAGACGTAACCCGAGGAGTAGATTTTTCAAGACCTGGCATCACGCACATCCGAACCATTGACATAAGTAAATGTATGGATATATATGCACATGACATTAAATGGAATCTGCTCAATCCTGCCTTGTGGTGTCTGACTTTCTGCATGGCTCTGGCTCCTCACGGTCCCATCTGTGCTCGGGCAGGGCCTGCTGCTGCCTCGGGAAGGGAGCCTGGGAATGGGGGCTGCTGGCTCTGGAGGAGGGGGGCCAGGGTGGGTTTGGGACAGAACTGCTGTGCATTGGCTCAGTCCAGGCTGTGGAGCTTGTGCTGCCTTGGCTGGGTGGGATGGGACGTGGCTCGGGGTCAGGGCATGGTGCTGATGGCCAGAATCCCAGATTTTCTCTGTGTTCCCCCCCAAACCTCAGGTAAGATCCACCTACAGCCATCCCTCAGCCTCTGCTGTCTGGGGAGAGCAGCCAGGGCTGCTGGGGCTCCTCTGCCATCACTTGGCCTGTGAGCTTTGTGTTCCTGGGCTGGATCCTTGGGTGACTTCCAGGGACAATCTTGTCCCAGTCTTGTCCCCACCACCTCAGTGATTCCCTGCCCTGGGCACTGGTGCGCTGTTGCTTCTCCCTCCCAGCTCCCTCTGGCTCCTCTTTGCTTGGTGCCCATCAGAGAGGTGAGCACAGCAAACTGGGAGGCTGTAAAAGCTGGAATCTGGCATTGTGCTGCCCCAGTCCCACAGAACTCGTGGATCTCATCCTCTGTGGCCTCAGCTGAGCACTGAGGGTGTCTTTAGGGGACAGGCAGAGCCAGGTTTGGGTGTGGAGGGGGAAACCAGGACAGGCCAGTGCAGGTGCCAGGAGGTTGAGAGTGGGAAGAGGGGTCTGCTCCAGAAAAGGCTGGAAAAGGAAGGTTCAAGGTGGAGAAAGAGCTGGGCACAGCAGGATCTCTGCCAGGAGGGTGGGCACTGATGTTGCTGAGATCCATCTGGATACAGGAACATGGAGAAGGTTTGACAGTCATAAATACAAGGATATGAGGTGGTGGAGGAGCACGAGAACAAGGGCAGTGATCCTTCTGCTCTCCTGTGCTCTGGAAAGATCAATCCCATCAGCTTCCCCATCCTGCTTTTCCTCAGGACACAGCTTGGTGCTCATTCTCCTCCTGGATACAGGAACATGGGCAAGGTTTGACACCCATAAATACAGGGATGGGAGGTGGTGGAGGAGCATGAGAGCAAGGGCAGTGATCTCTTTGCTTTCCTGTGCTCTGGAAAGATCAATCCCATCAGCTTCCCTCTCTTCCTGGCGCCAGCGGGTGAGAGCACTGCCCAAAGAGAAGCCACAAATTCCTGGTATGGCAGCTTCTCCCATCCAGCTCATCAGCTACTGGCCACAAATGTTTGCCAGAAGGATCTGTGGTTTGTTTTTGCATCCTCTCAATGCCTCTCCTGCCCCTGGCTGCCCATGTGTGCTGCAGGTTGGGCAGGGAATGCCAGTGAGAGCCAGGATTTGGGCACAGCACCCTTTGTCTAAATCGATAAATGTTTGGACAGCACTCTCGGGCACTCTGCAGGACCAGGAGTTGGATTTTGATGGTCCCTGGGGGTCTCTCCCAGATCAGGATATTCTGTGATTCCGAGATCATGGAAGGAGCAGGTGTTGCAAGGTTTGGGAGCAGACAGGGCTCCCAAAAAACAGCAGCAGCAGCTCAGCCCCTGCTGGCATGGGTGGACACAGAGCAGCCCACCTTATTCATTTTATGACCATTTTCTCCCCCCCAAAAAACCCCAGTGGGGCTGAATTTGGGTCTGCCCAAGTCTGCATTGCTGTTTTTGAGGTTTTCCCACTTTTGTGCCAGAGCTTTTTAGCTTGGCATGTGCTGCTTGGCTCTCCCTGGGAGCGATGCTTCCCAGGGCTCTCCCACATCCCTGAGAAGTGCCCTGTCCCTGGGGCTGCTGCTGCAGCTTGTGATGAGGGATGGCAAAATATTCTCTCTTTGTGGTGAAGCTTTAACCCCTGGACAGATTTAAGGCACATCACCTGGGGAATTTTGGGGTGTTCACATGTCTGGCCATAAGTTATTAGCAGCAAGAAGCCACCATGACTTGGTTTTCAGAAGGGCAGGAGAGTTCTTGCTCTTGGGGCAAGGCAAGGGAGGGTGGGGAAGGAAAGGCAAGGCACCCCAGGACAACATTTTGATTTTATTTGCCAGGTATCCCTTCAGCTCAGCTGTCACTCAGTGACCTGCACAGGATTTTGAGTTCAGAAACTCCAATTTTGCTGCCTTTCCATTCAACCTGCCCTTCCTAAACTCTCCATGTCTGTGTTTTCCAGCAGCAAAGTCACCTTTTGCCACCACAAAGAAGTGCTCCACTTCCAGCTGCTGCTTGGAGTAGGGATGTGTGTTTTGCCCAGGGAAGAAAATCCACGTGGTGCTGGTTTTTCACATAAATCAGCCCTGGTGTGTCCTGGCCAAAGCCTGGCAGGGTTCTTGCTGTCAGCTCTGTGCAAACACTTTTATCTCCTGCCACCCTGAGCCCCAGCAGAAAGGACTTTGGCCATTTTCTGTTAAATAAACAACATTATGTAAGAGGCCTCTTCATTGCTGTGAGGGCTCTCACACCCAGGCTCTGGGAACATCTCAGCTCTGCACCAGCCACTGTTCAAGCTGAGGTGATGGTTGGTCCAATTTTCTGCTCAGGACCTGGCCAGGGTGTAGCAAACAGGCTGGAATGAAGGTTTCTGTCCTGCAGGGTGAAGCCCTGCAGGAATTGCTCATCACAGTGGTTTCTCAGGAAAAAAGGGATTTTTTTTCCCCCCTAGAACAAGGGGGCTTGATGCAGCCAGTTTCAGGAATACTTCCAGGTCTTCTAATTAAAAAAAATAAATAAAAAGCAATTAAAATTAATTTTCAATCTCTTCATTGCCCATCAGAAAAGTTCTTGTTTCAGAAAGTTTACAGAGAAGATCGTGGCCTGAGCATTTTTAAGAGAAGAGAAGAGTTTAGTTTTAGTTTTACCCAGGCCCAGCTTGGATGGCTTACAGAGAGGGAGCTCTCCAAGAGACCAGGAAATGCTGGTTATAAAGTGAAATTTGGGTGCTGTAGGAAAGTGCCACTTCTCTGAAATGATCTGGTCTTGCTCGGGAGGGATGAGGAACTGCAAAATGAGGAAAGGGAAGTAAATGCTTCATGGGTTCATATTTCAAAGCCAATTTTCTTAATTCATTTTATTTTTCCTGTCTAGAGGTACTTTGAATCCTCTTTCTTAATGATCTGGAAGCACGAGGTTCCCTGGGGGAAGAAATGCCCATTTGGCCATCTGTGTTGAGAGGTTCCCCTTGTGCCAGCCTTGCCTGATTCCTTCAGCGCATCCCTTCTTCCCAGGGGGGTTTGAACACTTCTCCTGCTGAGGGTGAAGTCCCTGAGCTGTTTGCAGCCCCTGGGGGGGTCACAGAGAGCAGTCCTGTGGTAGCAGTGATGGGCAGGAACCTTTTCTCAGCAGGGTGAAGATTGTAAAGAGAACATCACTTTCTTTAGGCTCCTCTGGCACAAAATGGCACCGGGAAGAAGCTGGAGGACTCCTGGGCTTGGGAAGGAGGATGGTCTGCGGGAACTTTTCACCCTCCTCACATTGCCACAGGCAGGGAGGCATTCAGAGGGATTTACCAAGCCCTTAGCTCTGAAGCTGAGGTCTTTGCAGCCCAGAAAGTGCCTTTTCTGCACCAAAAAGCTCCTTGCTTCTGCAGTTCTGGGCCTGGACACGGCCACATCACCTGGGGGAGGTGGGGAGCTGTGGCTCCCCAGAACCTCAACAGGAAAACAACTTGAAATATTCCCCAGGGCATGATTTGAGCTTTCTTCCTTTGGCCAATCTTCCTTTCCCTCCTCCACCCCCAGCTGGTCACAGAGCCACTTGTCCTCAGCCGTTTGCATTTTTTGGGGCGAGGCTGGCAGCACTCTCCATCACAAGAGCAATTCCTTAAAACTCCATCTCTAATCAGCTTTTCCTGATGCTCCACCTGCAGGAAGAGCTCTTGCTCTTGCCCAGCCTGTTCCTGGCTCATCCCTGTGCCAGCAGCTCTCCCATGCCAGCAGAGCAGCTGCTCCATGGTTTTGTCTGTCCCCTCCAGTTCCCCCCAAGGCTTTGGGACCCCCTGAGCATTCCCAGGAGCACAGCGGTGTCCGGGGAGATCTGCCAGCCCACAGGGCTGTTTCCAGGGCCTGCAGGTTCCTTGGGAATTACAGCCAGGAGATAAGGTATCAAGAAATCTCGTTTCTCCCCAGCAGGCAGTCCAAAAAGCACTGGAGCCAAAGGGCAGAGCTGAACGTGACCTTGATCACTGACGCAGCCCTTGCCTGCGATGTTAACCCTTGGATCAGGGATGCACCATGGCAAAGGTGATGGAAACTCTTTTCCCTTCTCTGAGAGGGGAGGCAAAATGCCAGAGGTGCTCCCAGCTTTTAGTTCCCACCACAATGCAGGAGGGGAAAAGGCTGTGGCTGGTTGGATCTTTCCTCCTGCTGCACCAACAAGTGATGGGTCCTGTCCCTTTGGGGAGGAGCAAAGTGCCAAAAGCCTTTGGATAAAGCTATTTGAGCAGCTGGGGAATTTATCCAGGCCTAGCTGGGACTTGGAACAGGTGGGGGAAAAAAGCTGAGTTTTAACAAATAAAGTTTTTTGTTAAATAGAAGTGCATTAATAATAAAAAGTATTTTACACTTGAAATACAATTGTGTTTCCAAGCTCTTCTAGTAAAGCATGGAAACCCTGAGCAGGGAACTTCCATGAGAATCAGGAGTCACATCCAGCCACCATTCCACAGGCTGGACAAGCTGTGATGAGGCAGAGGAAGTAAAAACATCCCCTTCCCAAATTCCTCGAGCAGCAGAGCAGTCCTGGAAAGGTTATTTTGGGAGAGGGAGGTGCTGTCTGCAGCTTAACAGAAACACACCAGGGGAAAACCTTCCATCACCTCCTCGTGGGATTCAATTATTGATTGGTTTCTCCTTATCTTGTGCCACACTTGACTCACGGGGTTGCTCAGTAAGAATTTTCCACCTGAACTTTCCAGCTTGGAGCTGGGAGCTGCTGGGACTGGCCAGGGAACTCACTCAGGTAAGGAGATTCCCCTGGGATCCTGCAGGATTGGGGTTTGCACCTTCCAGCGGTCTTGGGGCAGTTTAATCAGTGGGATGTAGGAGTGTGGGTGTGTGTGATGCTGATGTGGTTCAGGCTGGTGCTGGGATAGTTCTGGACAGCTCAGGGAACAAAGAGGGCAGGAGGGAAATCTCTAACTCCAGATTTGTTGTCACTAAAATATTTGTTCTGTGAAATTCAGCCCTGCCCACGAGCGCTGTAGCCAAAGCAGCTGATAAGAGAGGTCACCTGCAGCAAGACTAAAAGTGACCACTTGGCTCTCTGCTGATGTCATTTCTCTCTGCAGCCTTTTCAGGAGCATAAGTGCTCATTCCAGCAGTTGTTTCCTGCAGGTTCATTGTTTCCAGGGCACATTCCCTGTGAGGAACAGCCTGCAGGCAGCTTCACCAGACCTGGCAAATGTTACAGCCAGGAAAATCAGATTCTCTGCCTCATTCTTCCCTCTCTAACCACAGAATAATCACAGACTGGTGTGGGTTGGGAGGGACCTTGAAGCTGAGATTCCTAAATTGGTGTTTATTACGGTGACAGTACTGTCTTCTGCCACGCTCTGAGCTTCAGCATCTCCTACAGCCACTCAGAGAAGCTGGTGGAATATTGTGGGGTTTGTTCCCAGATCTCTTCAGAAGGGTGAGCAAAGTGTCTCGGGAGACACAGGGCCGGGAATTTGGGAGCTCTCCCTGTGCTGTCAGGCCTGGTGTCAGGGAGTGCTTGCTGCCAGCAGGAGACACGTTTTTTTTCTTAAGCTGAAATATAAATCTCCACTTCCCACCCTTCTCTGTGCTGCTGCTTTTTGGGTCTGGTGTTTAATGTGTGGAGGCGCGAGGCTTGACTTCATGCTTTCAGAAGGCTGGTTTGTTATATTATGATATATAGTATATTAAAATACTACATTAAAACTATACTAAAAGAATAGAGGGAAAATATTTATTAGAAAGTTAGAAAGAACAAGAATAGAATGCCTAACAAAATTTTGTGACTCTCAGAGTCCGATGCAGCTGTATCTGTGATTGGCCATTAATTGGAAACAGCCAACACACACCAATCACAGCTGCACCTGCTGCATTCCACAGCAGCTGATAGTTATTGCTTACATTTCTTTCCTGAGGCTCCTCAGCTTCTCAGGAGAAAAATCCTAGCAAAGGATTTTTCATAAAATATCATGGCTACAGCTGCTGTAGCTCTGATGCCGGGCTGGGGGACACCAACAGCTCCCTGAGGGTGGGATGTGAGCTCTGGCTGGGATGTGCCCCTCGCTGGGATGTCCCACGGGCTCCTTTCTGCTCCCACAGTGCCCCCACCATGCCTGGAAAGAGGTCCAGGTGCTCCTTCTCCCGGCTGGAGGTGATCCTGATCGTGTGCCTGGTGCTGATGGTCTCCCTCACTGTGGCGCTCCTGGTGCTGCACTTCCTCACCAAAAACACCGATGGCAAGTGGAGCTATCCCAGCCCCTGCAAGCCCTCTGCTCCAGGGGGTGCCCAGGGCAGGGTTTAGGTCAGAGGGGGACAGGTGGAGGTCCCAGGTCACTGCTGAGCTGTCACCACTACCTCTGCACCTGGTGCCTCCACCCGAGCATGGATGCACAGCCCCAGGGATGGGCTCAGGTTGGCTGCAGGGATCCATCCCTTCCTTCCATCCTCCCTTCCCTCTCCGTGCCTGCTGAGAGCCCCTCACTCCCAGGATTTGACCAAGGGGTTTCACAACCCCATCCCAGCCCACTGATGCCTCCAACCCCATCCCCAGGCACAGGGAATGAGGGTGTCGGGAGCTGGACTCAGCATCTCACCAGTGGGACCTTCCAGCTTCCAGATTTTGGGCTCAAACTGGATGTAGTTCACATCTGGGACTCAAAACTTTGTGGTTTTAGGCTATAACAGCTTTGCACAAATGATTCTCCTCAGTGTCAGAGCTCTTGGGGGAGGAGGAGGAGGAGGAGGGGTAGTTCTAAAGGGGTGGCCCAGTTGGCTGGTGTCATTTTAAATGACAGAAATGGCATCAGTCTCTGGCCACTGTGTTTCCCTTCTCCTGTGTTTTAAGTGACAGCCCAGGAAAGGCCAGGCTGGGAAAATGGAGCATCCCCTGATCCCAAAGCAGCTGCCTGGGGAAGGCTGTGGGAACAGGGCAAGCACACAGAAATATTTCATATTTTCCCACAGTGTTATCTCAGCCTGCAGTGATTTGTGGCTCTGGGATTTCCTGAGATGCAGATAACATTTCTGATTGATTATCATTTGATAGCCATCCATGGCTTTTCTTCCATGGGTTTGCCCATCCTGGAAGGATTTCTGCACCTTCCTGGTGCCTGGGGTGAGATGTGATCTCCTTTGGGAGACCTTTTCCTCACCATTTGCCTGGAAATCACTGCTCAGAACTGCTTTTCCCTTCTCTGAGCTTTGGCTGGCTCTGCTGTGATTTTTTGGGGGAAGAGCAGGACACCAGCACTGGACACAGGATGTGTTGATGTGCCCTCCTCTCTTCCCTAGTCCTTTCCCAACAGCTCCTGACACACCATCCCTTTTTTCTTACCACTGCTGAGCTGAATTGTGTCAAACAGGCCTTGGGTTTGGCTCCTGCGTGGCACTGGTGGGCTTGGAGGGTTTAACCGGGAATGCTGGGCTGGTTCTCCCGGCTGTGCATCCATCTGACACAGTCCAGTGACCCTCTGAGAGCTCCCTGGGTGGTTTCTCGCGCCTGCTGTGCCACCCCGAGGCATTCACAGCCGTGGCACATTGGGAGCTTGCTGGAAATGCCCCCAGAGCTCCCAGCCAGAGCCTTTGGCCTGTGCTGTGCCCGTTCTGCTCGCCGTGCCCGCTGACCTGCCGATTGTGGTTGTCGCAGACTGCACCAACAACACAGCAGAGGAGGCAAAGTACCTGCTGGGTGTTGGCAGAGCTGACTGCACGGGGCCCGTGGCACAGGTGCCTCTGGTGAGTTGGGGCAGTTCCTCATGGGCTTGGTGAAATACTGATTTTTTCCTCCTCTGGGAGTATTTTTTGGGCAGGATTTCGGGTTTAGAACCTCTGCCTGGCCAAATGTGCGTTGCCTTCAAACATCAGTTGAAATTTCCCTGAGGTTTGGAGCAATGTGGGCTTGGTGGGAGGTCGGAAGGGGGGGTTGGGAGGAGATGGGCTTTAGGCCCCCTTCCAAGCCCAACCGTTCCATGGAATGCGGGGCAAGACAGAGCTGCAGCTCGGAGCTGTTGAACGACCCCCGGGGCAAATCTGCTCGGGAAAAGCAGAGGAATAAATGGCTCAGTATTGATGATGGAGCTCCTCTCTTGCAGATGGGATATGCCAACCCCGAGCAGGTGGGTGGCGGGCTCCTCTCACGCCTCTACAGCCGAGCCTTCATCGTGGCAGAGCCCGAGGGCTCCAAGCGCGTCGTGTTCGTCAGCGCCGACATCGGGATGGTGTCCCAGAGAGTGAGGCTGGAGGTACGGGCCACAAAGGAGGGCTGGGAGCAATCCTTTGGGATTTCCTTGGGCTGGTGCTTGGAGAAGAGCTTAGGGCCCCTCAGCAAATGAGGCTGGGCTTTGCTCGCTCTTCTCTTAGTGGGAGAATTAGCAGGAGTTCATTGGAATCACAAAGACGTTATCGTGGTGCCTCTAGTGCAGCAGAGGAGATGTGGAATCAGAAAAACAGGCGCCTCCACAGACGCCGAAGGGTTTGATCTGCAGCCTTAGAAGAAGTTTGGATTGATGTAAAAATAAAATATGCAGACAATAAGCAGAAAACCAAAACCTCACAGCCCCTTAGACTGATGTTTATCTCAGCAATAAATGGTTCTTAGCCCAAAACCAGTCCCATCCCTTTATCACAAAGTGGCAACAATGATAGGGAGGTGCCAGCAATAAATGGTTCTTAGCCTGAAAACAGTCCCATCCCTTCATCACAAAGCGGCAACAATGATAGGGAGGTGTTGGAGAACTGTGGATCCTCCTGGGATGATCTGGGATGCTCTTCGGGTTGGATATAAAGGTCTTTTACCAGATATTCCTATTTTGAACTTCCTGCCAAGCCAACAGCTACAACCTCCTTGTTGTGCCAGGCAGAAAGAGTGAGGGGGGGCATGGATGGTTTGGGTATTTTTGGACAGGAGAAGGGGTTTTTAGGAGCACCTCCTCCCCTCAGGTGCTGAAGCAGCTGCGGAGCAAGTACGGCGAGCTGTACCGGCAGGACAACGTCATCCTCAGCGGGACCCACACCCACTCAGGGCCTGCAGGCTACTTCCAGTACACCCTCTTCTGGATCACCAGCAAGGGGCTCATCCAGCCAGCCCTCAGCTCCATCGTGAATGGCATTGTGAAGGTCGGTGTGGCCCAGTTCAGCGTCTTGGTGCCCAGCACAGCTCTGGCTGCAGGGTTTGGGGTGGCACCTCCGCGTGGCACAGCCTGCTTTTGAGGTGGGTTTGCTTGTTTGCAGCTCAAAAAGCAGGAGCTTTCAACCCTTTCTTCAGAGACAGATGTTGGTAGTTTAAAAATGTTGTTGTAATTTTTGAGAATTTTAGATGAGTTTAGGAAAAAATCCCAAACAAACACCCGCAGATTCCAAGAAAGGTTGGGGATGGACAGGGAGGGAAAGAAAGAGATTTTCCAGATAACCTCCCATGTGCCTCACAGACTGACAGTGCCTGTCTTGCTGCTTTGCAGAGCATAGACATTGCCCATGAGAACATGAAGAGAGGAAGGCTCTTTATAAACAGAGGCACAGTAGAAAACAGCCAGATCAACCGGAGCCCTTTCTCCTACCTCGCGAACCCGGAGTCCGAGCGGAAAAGGTAAAACCTCCCCAGGCAGGAGAAAAAAAAATTAACTGCTTGAAAAGGGCTTGAAAGCTGTAGTTGCCCTCTCCAAGCATGAGGAATCAGTCAAGGATGTGACCTTGTGATTTATTTAACAAATAAAGAGTCAGAGGGCATTAAAGCGCTGTCCCTGGTGCACGAATTTGTGTTGCCTCCATTCCCTGGAGGAGCAGTTCCTGAGGACAGCGACAGCCACAGCTCTTCCCTCACCTTCCCAGCTGGGTCCAGGTGATCCTCTAAGGCCTTGCTGTGTGCTGGTGGTACCTGGAATGACCTTTTGACATCCTTGTTCAGCCTAGCGGGGATTTAACCTGCCAGAGCACCAGAGCACAGCCCTGACTCTGATGGGATTTCCCCGCTTTGCTCCCATCCAGGTATTCATCCAACACGGATAAAGAAATGGTGCTGCTGAAGATGGTAGATGAGAACGGGCACGAGCTGGGCCTCATCAGGTACTGACCACCAGAGCAGCAGGTTTTTCTCCATCCCCATTATTTTTTGTAGGAATGAAGGTGTTCCGTTTTCCCCCCCCCTTTTTACATCACTGACTCCTCCTTGTTCCTTTGAATATAAAAATCCCTGCAAAATATAATTTATGGGTTACCACAAGAGTCAGTTCAGGTCTGAAGGAGCTCTTGGTGGCCCTGATAATGACAGTGACAAATTCTTGTGGTCTCAAGGCCTGGATTGTTACAGCCATGAGCCCTCCTGCTTAGGAAGGGACAGGATGGGAATCCTCTTAGGATCCCTGAGCACCACGAGTCTCTGTGTGTATTCTCCCCAAGAAAATTCCCCCAAATTGGGAATAGGAAAATTCAATAGGACTGAAATTCAACAGGATTGAACAGGTCAATTGCTGCTGCATGGGGTGAACAGAGCATTTTCACTTTTTCCATTTCACTTTTTAAATTTAATTTTTAACCCTTCCTCAGCTGGTTTGCCGTGCACCCGGTGAGCATGAACAACTCCAACCACCTGGTGAACAGTGACAACGTGGGCTACGCCTCCTACCTGTTTGAGCAGGAGAAGAACAAGGGAATGCTCCCTGGAGAGGTGGGAGCACCCAAAGGAATGGGGGAAGCAGGGCTGGGACAGGGAGGGGTCAGGTGGGACAGCAGGGCAAACACAGGAACACAAGGACTGTGGTGAATGCTTTGATTTATTTCCTGTTTCAGAAGGGAAAATGGAAGGTGTATTCTTTCCAAACTAGCAATAAGTGGCAATTATTCAGACTTGAGGAATAACTCACATTTATTTTGATTAAAATCTGGGGAGGTTGTGGTTGCCCCATCCCTGGAAGCGTTCAAGCCTTGAACAACCTGGGCAGTGTCCCTGCAGTCAGCTCCAATAGTTTTCACCCCATAAATCAGTCATTGTGAATGCCTGGAAGGAAAAAACCTCCTGTGCAAGGTGCTCCAGTGACCCATAAACATCTGATCAGCAACAGGAGAAGCAGGGGAAGAGCGGAGGTGGAAGAGGGGGAGGAGGAGACGCTGTCTGCACACCAAGGTGGTGGAAGCTCTCCCTGAAATGGCATCATGCGCATCCAGTTCTCTTCCTGCCCTCCCCCTTGGTTGTGCCCAAACCCCCATCCATCCCAGAGCTCCCAGCGACTTTGGGAACAAACCGAGCCCAGCAGCTGCGGGGAGGGCTGCACGGGAGCTTTGCAGCTTTCCCTGCAAGGCGCTGCAACGCTCCTCTGGCCTTGGCAGGGCTCTTTCGTGGCCGCCTTTGCCTCGTCCAACCTGGGAGACGTGTCCCCCAACACGCGGGGCCCCTTCTGCGCCAACACGGGCGAGTCGTGTGACAACCCCCAGAGCACCTGTCCCGTCGGAGGGGTGAGTGTGTCCCTCCTGTCCCACCCTCTGCTGGGCCACTGCGCACGGGGAGGGCACTGAAAGTAAAAAATCACCTCTTTTTGGAGCGTCCTGGATGCCCCTTCCGGGAATTAACGGCGCTTTGTCTCCCACGCACCCCATTTTCTGCTTGTTCACCCCAAATTTAACTAGAGTGTAGTAACCCCGTGGCTGATTTTGATGTGGCCTGCAAGAAGCCCTCAGTTCCCACAGCCTGACAGCCACCTGGCAGTGCCAGATGCTCTCCATAGTCACTGATCACCAAACGAATTTCCCGACAGGCAACCATGTGCATGGCCAAGGGGCCTGGGAATGATATGTTTGAGAGCACCAGGATTATAGGGCAAAACATCTACTTGAAAGCAAAGGTAAGGGATATTCTGCTTTCTGAGTGTGTGTGAGTGCTGCCACGACAGGAATTCATGCTCATTTGAGCAACTTTATGAGCCTTGTGGATCCCTTTCCTCTGGATATTCCATATTCCATCTTCTAGCTCCTATATTCCATGTTCTATCTATCTTGTACCTGCTTTGGTGAATGTTTTTTGGTGAATGTTTTTTCAAATTACTGTAAAGTTCCTTGATTTTGTTTTTAATGGGTAAATGAGCCCTGCAACCAGCTGGTGATGTCTCTGTCTGCTGGAATCAAGAGGACCTCAGAGCCTGGAATTTGTTAGGCTTAGGACATTGTAGGAAATCTTAATGGTAGTGAAAATTTTCCTCTGGTAGAACACATCTGATTAGAAACCTGAATTTAGACTGGACAACACATACTTTTATTTAGCTACTTTAGATATTTAGATCCTTGCAGGTGTTGTCATTTGAAACATGCTGGTTTGGGGTTTTGATCTCAATATTCCTCACTGGGATATGATGGGGATGTCCCCTCTTATCCTCTCCCGCTCCCTCCCATTCATCTCAAAGGCATCATGATGGGAAAAATCCTCCTGGGAGAGCTCAGAGACACCACCACACACCATTTGGGGAACAGTTTGGCATCACATTCCCAAAGTGACACAAACGTGAGGGAAAACGAAGCCCCCACAGAGGATGCTCCCCTTGCTCTGCTTGGCCCTGCACCTCCTCAGCCCTAAGGGCTCCCTTTCGTCACCCATGGGCTCTGAAGCCACCCTGGACTGAATTTTCTGCTTCCCCTCCTGAGTGATGTGAGCAGTGAGTGCAAGGAGAGCTTTTGGCAGCATTTCAGGGGCAGGAGCTTGTAGGATCTGGAGCAGGAGGAGGAAGAGCACGAGGCTTGGTGGTGGCTTTTCCTTTGGTCACCCCTGCAGAGGCTGTGCCCCGAAGTCACTCCGGGCTGGGTGTCTCTGTGCCCAGTCCAAGAGTGCTGCTGTGTGCATCAAACACAGGGGAAAACCACTGCTGTGGTCTTTAGCACCCCAGACTCCCGGCCTCCCAAGGCTGTGCCCTGAGCTCCTTCAGGAATGTCATTAAACCTGTAGAACTTCTGGCAACCCTCCCCACCGACCAACCTGGGGCTGGAAAACCATTCCCTGGGGGGCTGAGTGTGTGCAGTAAATACCTTCAGCTGTCAGGGCTGCAGTAAATACTAGCAGCACTTTGAGGCAGTGAGTAGAGCAAAACGCTTCTTTCTCACAGAGAACATTTTTTTTTCTGCTTGGTCAAAGATGTGAGCGATGCCAAGAGGTGGCAGCCAGGGGAAGGGAGCTGCCATCCTGCTGAAACAGGGACGTGTTTCAGCTGTAAAAGAGAAGTGTCCTCTCCCTGAGACAGGCAGAGCTTGCAGGGCTCGGGGGTGACACAAACAAAGGGACTTGGGAATTAGAGATTTGCATTAATGCCTGAAGAGGCCCCAGGAAGGTGAAATGAGGAAATATCCATATGGCTGCTGCCGACCCCTTGTCCCACAGGGATTTTTTTCCACCTCATGTGTCCCTTAGGAGCTGTATGAAAAAGCCTCCCAGGAGGTGACAGGACCCCTGAGCTCAGCCCACCAGTGGGTGAAAATGAGCAACGTGTCCGTGGAGCTCAACGCCACACACACGGTGAGAGCAGCAGGCTGTTCCTCAGGGAAAATGGGGTTTGTCCCATTTTTTCCCCCAGCAGCACCTGCCACCATGAGGGAAAATGGGGTTTGTCTCTTTTTCCTTTTCTTCTCCCCTTCTGATTCAGGTTAAAACCTGTAAACCAGCCCTGGGGCACAGCTTTGCTGCAGGGACTATTGATGGAGTGGGGGCTTTCAACTTCACCCAAGGTAATTTGGGACAGATCCCAGATGGACTGACAGCCCTGGAGTCACTTCACAGCACCCAAAGGGATGGTTTTTGGGAAGGTGGGGGAAACCCCCTCACAGGTTTGTCTGTGGCCATTTGGGAAAAGGATATGGCCACGTCCTGGAGGAAGGAGAGCACGGGGATGGGATGGGGAATAGGGAGAAGGAAGAGCTGGTTTGGGACTGTCCTGCTCATCTGTCCTCCTTACCTGGGAGCAGGGAGTGTCTGAGAGCTGCTGGGGCAGCTGAGGAACACAGTTTAAAGATGTTTCCCCCTCAAGGCTCAGTAGAAGGGGACCCGTTTTGGGATCAAATCCGGGACCAGCTGCTGGGAGAGCCATCGAACGAAACCACAGCCTGCCACAAACCCAAGCCCATCCTCTTCAACACGGGAGAGGTAAGGACACACCTGTGTGTGCCCTGGGGGCTGCAGGGATGGCTGGGCTGGGATCACAGATCCCCATCCCTCGTGGGTTTGTCAGGGAGCTCCAGGCAGGGTCTGTGATGTGTGCTGAAGAACAAGGAGGGAGCACAGCTCTGCTGGATTCCAAATTTTGCTGGATTTCTCCAAAACTGAAGTGGTCAGAATCTAGATCCCTGCACGTCCTCAGAGCCCTAATTGCCAGCTTTCATCTGATACCCATAGCCTGGGCAAAGGACTTCTTTTTCCCCTGGAAAATAGCCTCTGTTTGTGGCCAATCGCCCTGGCCGACCCTGGCCACCCAAGCTAGAAATTTGCAAATTTGGCTGGATTTCTCCAAAACTGAAGTGGTCAGAATCTAGGTCCCTGCACATCCTGAGAGCCCTAATTGCCAGGGCATGGCTTGGCCTTTTCTGAGCTCTCCCCAAATCCTGCTTTATGACTCTAAGTGGAAATTGCTGCCCCTTTTCCCACCTGATGCTCCCTTGGCACTGAGGCAGCCGGGCAGAGGGATCATGTCCAGGGTTTTCAGAGCACTTAAACGAGGCCATCTGGGTAAGGAATTCATTGTTATTCCTTTCACCAGCCTCGTTAAAAGCTTCCCTGCTGTCACTTCGTGTTCAATCAGCTCCTCACCTCAGCTCTCCCCAAAAGAGGCCCCAGCCCCTCCCAGCCTCCTCCTCCATGCAGGATGGTGTTACTGAGAGTAAATTACACTTTATTCTCAAGGCTTTAGCACATTTTAGGGATGCTCTGGCAGGCCTCCTGCTTCTGATGTGCTTCACAAGCTTTTGTCATTCATGTTTTGCCCCCAGCAAATTGCTCCTCAGAAAAAAAAAACCTTTTTTGGCTTGCTGGAGTGGGATTTTTTTTCTCAATCAATCCCAATTCCATCCTTTTTCCATGCAGGTGAGGGGTGTCTAGGTGCTACCCTGACCTTCTTTATCCACTTTGCCAAAGCTGCCCCTCTGGCAACACCGTATTTCAGGGGTTTTTTTGCCTTACCTGTAGTATTTACTTGTGCCTTATGTGACTCTTATGGTCAGACATCACATGAAGGTAAAACACCTTCTCACACGTTTCACAAATAAATGAAATTAATTTAATTTACAGATAAATTTACAAAATTAATTCATGATGTCTAGGTGCTACCCTGACCTTCTTTATCCACTTTGCCAAAGCTGCCCCTCTGGCAACACCTTATTTCAGGGTTTTTTTTGCCTTACCTGTAGTATTTACTTGTGCCTTATGTGACTCTTATGGTCAGACATCATATGAAGGTAAAACACCTTCTCACATGTTTCAAAATAAATTAAATTAATTTAATTTACAGATAAACTAACAAAATTGATTCATCTGCAGTGCTCTGGGCTGGGGACAAGGTGGGCATTGGGCACAGCTGGGACTCCATGGGCTGGCAGGGATTTTCCAGCCTCAATGATTCTGGGATTCCATGATTCTGGAGCCTGACTTTGCTCCCTCCATGCCCCAGGACCATGTCTGGACGCAGGCTGCGGGAGGCTGTTCAAAGGGTGAGTTGCTGAGGTTCCTCCGAGCGAAGCACATCTGGAACTTCTCTTCTCTTGAGCCTCCTGGTTGTTCCCTCCTCTCCTCCCAGCTGGGCTCACGGGGCTCGTGTCCCACAGATGTTTCCTTCTCCCATTTTCTTCAGATGGATTTTCCATCTGCTTCCTGACAGGCAGGAGAAATGAATATCCTTCCCAAAACACCGACTGATCAGGTTTCAGTCCATTAAGCCAATTCCACAGGGATCCAGGCACAACTGATGCCAGCAGAAGTTTGGCTCTGGGATGGAGGGGTTCAGCTCCTCAATCCCTACCAGGATGCTGCAACATGAGAACAACTGCAGGGGAAAAAAAAAGGAAAAAGTATTTTTTCCATTTGATTGACACATCCTGGCTGCAGCCTAAATAAAATCCCAGTCCCAAATACTGTCTCCACAATTCCCTGGGCCTTTCTCATACTTAAATCCCTGATTTTTTTAGGAGTATACAGACATCAGCTTCCAAAATAACCCCCCTAGATTTACTGGAATGTGAGGTCATTTGTCTGTTTTTACTTTGGGGAGTGAATATGACACCTTGAAAAAGGCAAATTACACTTGTAGGTTTGCATTCCTGGGCATCCACCCCCCTTCCCACCATAGGTTTGTATTCTGTCCTGAAAAATAATAATAATAATAATAATAATAATAATAATAATAATAATAATAGTACAACCACCAAGTAACATAAAAACAATAACAATATTGATATAATAATAATAAGAATAATGACAGTAATAAAAACAATATAGTTGTGCATAAAGCACTTCTTTCAAGTTAAGTGTTTTATTTCCTTCCTTAGGAATTTAATTCCCATGGGACATCAGGGATGAACGTTGTGATTGCAGGTCTGTGCAATGTCTACACCCACTACATCACCACCTATGAGGAATACCAGGTAAATGTTAAAACTGGGGATTGAATCTAAGTTAGTTCACTTTTGGCTCCAGGGGCTCATCATTCATGTGAAATGATGTGTGTTCCCTTCCTTTGCCACAAAAATGGCCAGGGAGAACTGGGAGGGAAGGTTGGAAGAACTGGGGCTGGAAGAGTCCCACCCCAAAAAGTTGGAGGGGGAGGCAAGTTGCATCATAAACCTTTAAAAGAGGGTAAAAACTTTGCTAATTGCAAGAGCAAAGAGGGTAAAAACTGGAAGAGCAAACAGGCCCTCCCTGTTTGCAGCGGGTCGGAGAATGAGGAGTAACCTGAAATTGCAGCAGAAATACTTTGGCAAGTTGTTGGGGCTGTCACCTTATCAGAAAGGGAATAAATAACCCACTGCTGATCTCGAGCTGGCTGGGATGGGATGTGCAAACCACTCAGGAGCCCTCCCATCCCTCCTCTGCCGAATTTGTCCTGTCCAGGTTCAACGATACGAGGCTGCCTCGACTATTTATGGGCCACACACCCTTTCTGCTTACATCCAGCTGTACAGGGGCCTGGCCAAGGCTATTGCTCTGGTAAGCAGCATTTCCTACATGCCACAGGCTGCTGGGGACATCTGAATCTTAAGTCAGTGGTGGTGGCTGTTCCTCACCAAGGCCACCCGACTGCTGTGCTCTCTCTTCAGAATCCGCCTTGAGAAATGGTATGAAAATAATTCCTGTAACGGGACCCTGACGCCACTTGAGAAGTTCTGGGGGTTTTGCAGCTCAAAGTGTAGGAAATCAGTACTTCTACACTGAAGTTGCTGCTTTTCTACCAAAAGGAAAAAAAAAATCTGCTGTGTTTTTGGTGTACCTGACAGTGCCCATTATCACTGTGACATGTGAACGGGCAGGAGCAGTGGGCAGGAATATCCTGGGATGTTCTGGGGCTGGGTTTAGGAGACCCCAGCAACAGGGCAGCAATTGTCCTGCAGGGATTGCTCCTGCAGGCAGAGCACAGCTGGACATTCCCTGCTTTGCTTTCCCGCTCACTTTATTATTCCTACAGTCTGTGTCAGCAGAGGCTGGGATGCAGAGCTGTGGCTCCTCAGGGAATCCTGGCTGTCCATGTGGATGTTTAACAAGCACATCTTCCCTCTCCCAGAATGCCACTCAGGAGCTGTCCCCTGGCCCAGAGCCCCCACTTTTCAACGTAACCAAGCTGACCCTGCTGCCTTCTCTCGGCACCGAGAACGCGCCAGCCAACAAAAACTTTGGAGATGTGCTGGAAGAAGTGAGACCAGAGTATCGAGAGGTGAGACCTCCAGGGAATCCTTAAAACCTGTTGGAGAAATTGCCTTTAAATTCTTCCCCCTGACCCCACAAGCCTGTGAGTTGTGGTGCCCTGGTGGGCACGGCTGAGAAGGCAGGGACAGAGCACTTCCATGGCCATGCCACTGTGCTGGATGGGAAGAAAATGGGTGGATAAAGGGGGAAATAAAAGCAATAAAAGCCCTTCACTCAGCACAAAGCAGATTTCCCCTTCTGCTTCAAAACAAAATAGCAGTTGATTAAGTAGGCAAATATTTTACAGGGATCTTTTACAAGAAGCAATCAGGTCACCTTTGATGCCTCTGCCGTAGAATGTAAATGAAATGAAATCAAAATGTCAGAAATGGTTCTGTTTTCAATGCTCAGCATTTAGATAAGATGTTCAGAGCAAAAGCTTTCACCTCATTGCTGTTTCCTTACTCCCTGCAGTAAGGCATTCTGAAAAAATCTCCCTTATTTCCTCCCTTTTTTCCTTATTGTGCTGCTTAGACTTTAACACAAATCTCAATTTCCCCCCCAGAGAGAAGTTGCTGAAGTGACTTTTGTGGGTGCAAACCCCAGGAACTCAGCAGAGAACGCGGTAAATGTGATGGAATGATGCTGGAATTGGGCTGTTTGGGATTGGTGGAATGGTGCTGGAATTGGGGTGTTTGGGGTTGATGGAATGGTGCTGGAATTGGGGTGTTTGGGGTTGATGGAATGGTGCTGGAATTGGGGTGTTTGGGGTTGATGGAATGGTGCTGGAATTGGGGTGTTTGGGGTTGATGGAATGGTGCTGGAATTGGGGTGTTTGGGGTTGATGGAGTGATGCTGGAATTGGGCTGTTTGGGATTAACGGATATTTGGGTAGGATTTTTTCTTTGCTGGGAGACCAGGGGAAGGTGTGTGCTTTGGGAATTCACACCACTAGAAAGCTTTTGGGGCAATGAAGTGAATTTGGGCTGTTTATGATCTCTTTATGTTATTGAAGTTGTATGTGTTAGACCAGGCTGGTATCCAGGGCAAACCTGGTCTCTAATTTCCATCCTACCACCCTGCTGCTTTATTTTAACAAAACAAAGGAAATTAGAAAAGCACTTAATTCATTCCATCACTCACCTTGCATGGACATTGTGACTGCACGTTCTCTTCCTACACATAAGTTCTTCACATCATTTATCAGCTTAAAATTTGTGCTTCGGCAGAAAATAAAACACTTGTGGAAGTAATTCCCACATCTGCCAGTAAAGCATGAGGAAGCAGAGTCCCTGTCCAGTTTCAAGTGCCACAGAAGGTGGGGACCTGCCTGTCCCTCAGTGTCTGCCTGACTCTGGTGCTTTTATTCCAGACTGAGCATAACTTCCTGACGGTGGAGAGATACTCCAACATTTCCAGCAGCTGGCATGTGGTGCTGAACGACGCCTCCTGGGACACCAGGTGGGTGCCCTGAGCAATTTCCCTGTCCCAGAGAATCCAGGGAGTCATCCAGGTCTAACCTGAAGGGCTTCATTCCAGAGCTCCCAGCCCCAGGTTAGTTTTGGCCCTGCAGGTGATGCTCTCCAGGGGAGAATCAGCTCATGTTTGGGGGGGTTAATTTGGCAAAACTGGTGTTCCCCTTGGCTCCAGAGTCTGGAATGGAGGCTTGCAAATTTGGGAAAGGGATGAGGAAGGGCAGCAATTACAGAAGGTTTGTGGTCCAGCTTGCTCCTAGCCTATATCCTTCCCTCTGGCACACTGTGGGGATGAATAAGATGCCAAAGAGAAAACAGGAGAGACTCACAGGGAAAACTGGCCAGATGTGCTGTGCAACATAAACAGACAACAATTTTTCAAAAGTCTGGAAGAAAGAAAAGTTCAAGGTGGGGATGTCAGCCTTTAGGAAAAATCTCCACAAAGCAGCAAGGCTGGTGACACCTTTCAGAGCTGTAGGTGAATCTTCATCAACTTCCCAAGAAGAGCTTCCTCAGAGCCAGCTGAAAAATCCCTCATGTCCAGGTGATGTGTGGGGTTTTGAGGCTGAGCATTCTCTGTAGAGTTTTGGGGGTTGAACAGAGAGGCCTTTGCACAAGGATTCTGTAAAAGAAAATGGGCTTTTGATGTGGAAATGGGTGCCAGAAGCTTAATAATTATAGATTTTGTGATTGAAGTGAATATTCCCCTTCTCACTTTAGCTCTGCTCCCGCACAGGGAGGACTTGAAGATGCTCCAGGGAAGTGTATTTTATCTCATGGCACGTAGTGAGCTCCAGTGAAACGTGGATTTCCTTGCTGACTGCAGTTTTGGGCCTGTTTTCCAGGTTTTACTGGAGCAAAGGATCCCTTGGCCAGAGCAACGTGACCATTGAGTGGCACATCCCGGCTGGCACGGAGCCCGGCGTGTACCGGCTCCGCTACTTCGGGCACTACAAGAAGAGGGTGGCCTTCCTCCGTGTCATCAGCGTCCCCTTTGAGGGCTCATCCTCAGCATTTCAAATCACAGCTCCATAGGTGACCCCGTTCCCTAAAGGGCCAGGCAGGAGATTTGGTGTCTGAGCTGTGCAGGGGTTGGACTTGGATGGTTCTTGTGCGTTCTCTCCCACTCCAGATGATTCCGTGATGTTCTGGACACCCTTGGGTGCTGCTGGTGCTCATTTGATGTGCAAAGCTCGACTTCCTGGGAAGTGCTGGCTTTTCCCTGCAGCTGAGTCCCCTCATGTGTCCTCAGTCAAGTGGTTTCTGTCCTGGCCAGGCCAGGTTTCAACTGATTCTTATTGTAATGATGATGTAAATTCTTCTTTAGTCATTAAACCTGTGCCTATTGATGGTGAATAGGCTCTCCTGGAGGGAATTAGGTGGAAATTGGTAAGAACTGAATTTATGAGTTAAAGCTGTGGGTGAGGCTGCCCTGAACAGAGCTCAGCCTCCTTTGCTGGAGTATCGGGAAGGACCCAAGGCCAGCAGGTCACTCAGAGTCACCTACAGGTGGGTCACCAGAAGGGTTTGTGATTCCTCTCCAACCCACACAAGGGTTCATTGGATTGTTACCATTGCAGGGTACAAGGACAGTGCCCAAAGCTGTTGGCTGAAAGGGTTTCACCACAAAAAAAGTCCCCAGGAATGTAGAGGATCTTCCCAGGAGGGTTTCAGAGCTGCCTGGACAAAGCCATGACCACCCTGACCCAGTGCTGGTGGCAGGTCCCTCCTGAACTGCCTCCCACCAGCACTGCCATAAGTAGGGACAGCTCCACAGTCCCTAAATCTCTTCTGCCCTCTACAAGTGGCCACAGGGAGAAGAAAACATATTTCAGGTCTGGATTTAGGATTCTTGTAGGGCCTGACTGCTAAACAACTGTAAATGTTTAATAAGCTCCAATAATGTGTACCAATTTTGTATGCAATCTCCTTAATTCTTCAGAGAATCATCAATCAGATAATTTTGCCTCTCTTCAAAATCAGTAGGAGAGGATGAATTATTCATTTCCAACCAGCTGCAATCAGTCTCAGAGATCCCCATCCGGAGGAGCTCAAAGCAGTTGCAATACTGAGTCAGGAAAAAGAGAGAGCTTTGAAAGAACATCATTGGGAATCAAATCCCTGGAGATGCTCCCGATGTCCTGTCCTAATGACCCCCCCAGCCACCCCACTAACAGCAGGGGTTTTTTTCACATGGATAGGACGTGTTTAAGCAAGGCAAGCTGAATTGGCCATTAAAAGATTTACCCTCTAAACCATCAACATCTGACCTCAAAAGAGAGTTTTTAGGAAGCAGGGGAGAGGGAGTGTTGAAAGCCAGAATTGGGATATCTGGAGAGCCCCTCGTGCCCCAGAGCAGGTCCCCTTGTGAAACACCTCGTGTTTATTTGGCTGTCACCAGTGGGCAGAATTTAGGGAGCATTTTTTTGGGGGGATTTTCATCATATTTTGTGCGTAGAAAACTCTCTGGGAGAGAAGCCCTTGCTTTTATTTGCTCTGTAACAGCATGGTGGCTGTTGGCAGGCAGTGACCAGCAGCCCTTCCTTGCTTTCCTGCACGCTTTTTTGGGATGCTGTGCCTGGATCCAGCAGCCACTAGGTGCCAGTGCTGTTTTACACGAGAACAAACTGGAGCCAAAGCCTAGGAAAAAAAAGAATTTTCCAGGAATTTGGGCACCTCGCCAGCTGTTAAATATAGCACTCACTACTCCTCACAGTTGCTCGTCCCTCGACGTGGAGCCATTTGTGCCCGGCTACGTGCTCGGGAGAAGGGCAGAATTCCACCTTTGTTTTATTTTTGTTGGCGTGGGATATAAACTACCACAACTCGGGAAACTCGTGTCGGCAGCCCGAGCTCCTGTGCACGGCTCGAGCGCTCCCTCCTGCACATCCTGTCCCTTCCCAATTCACCAGCAGGATTAGGAGATGCTAATTTGGGATCTGACCCCAGGCCCTGGGGGACAGGGGGGAATTCTCCGCAGGATTTGGGATTTATTGGATCCTGTGGTTGTCTGGGGTTTTTTTCCAGCATCCCACAGAGGGAATTTGTGTGCAGTCTATCTGCAGCTCTCTGGTCATCTCCACAACCAGGGTCAGATATACACGAGGTGGGGCTGGGGACCAAGGAATGTCACTCTTTCAATGTTTATTCCTTAAGCAATCCCAAATCTGGATGGGCACAATCCTGTGGATAGCTGGAGGCAGTCTCTGGGCATGGAGAGGAGTTTCAGGTGTCCAGGGAGAGAGCAGCCCACCCCAAGCATCCCCAAAGGACAGGGGCTGGTGGGCAGGGGCTGTCTAAGCCCCCACCAGCACTTAGAAAAGGACAGCTGAGAAATGGAATTTTATCCAAGACTGAGATTTTGGGGCCACAACAGAGAAGAAGAAAGGAACATCCATCCCATCAGAGCACCAGGGCCAGGCTGGCCCCCAGTCAGTGACCAGCAGGGACTGATGACCCCTCATGGGGATGTAACCTTCAAAGGTTGTTTGGTTTGTGAAATTTTTCCCCCAAAAAGGGAAAATCCAGGTTGGTATGTGATGGAGCAATGAGATGAGATGGTCCCTGGGAGATCAAGCTGGGAAAAGGAAGCCATGCAAGTTCCAAGGTAAAGCAGATCCCTTTGGAAGTCACATTATCCCATGGACTGAGGGGGTTTCAGTGGGACATGAGAGTTTCCCTGTAGGATGTTCCAGCTCCAAACACAGAGTTGTGTCACCCTCAGTGATGTTTTATTCTCACTCTGCACCTCAGATGAGAGGCCCTGTGTTGTACAGACCTCCAGGAAAGCGCTGGCTGGGAGAAGGGAGATGGAAAATGGAATTTTTGTAACCCCTGCCTTGCCAGCAGCCAAAGATGAGGCCATCTGCTGATTTTTCTGGGCATTGATCTCATCACTTACACCTCAAACTTGTCTTAGAATTGGTGGTGGAGGGTGGATATCGTTTTTGGCTTTGTCTTTCTCTCCACTGGGAACCCACATCTTTAAAAATGGGAAATAATGTTTTCTTTAAGTTGGGCTGTGGGGTTTGAGATTCCGTGAAAACCATCCTTGCTCTCCCAAACTGACCAGCCAGCTGCTGCTGAGCAAAGAGGGAATCTCAGTTGTGCCAGGAGGGAAACGTTACAGCACAACAGCAAATTCTCCATTGTCCTGGTTTTGGAGGAAATGAAAGCAGGACACCAGGAAAATCTAATAAGGAAAAATAATGGAGCTGGCAAAGCTGCTGGAGCCCGGGGTACAGCTGACCTCTTTGGGAGAGTAGTGTCAAGCTATTTTGGCAAAATCTCTTTTGGAGTGGCAGGGAGGCCTTGGCTTGTGTCATCAGCAGCAAGAGCTTCTCCCATTTTTTGGGTTCAGGATGTCTCTGGAAAGGTGCAAACCCAGAACGCCTTGTGCCAGGAATTGCTGTTTCTCAGTCATTTAGCTATGATGGTCTTCCAAGGAGCAGGGCCTCATCTTAAAGAAGATTTACCCATCAGTGACCTGGAAACAGGCTCTTCTCAAGGTGGGGCTAATCCCTCACTGCCCTAAATCACAGATCTCCACATTTACGCCTTATTTTTGCTTGGTGTTTTCTCACTATTGATACAACCCCCAAAAATCTCCACGGGGATCAGGTAAGGAACAATTACCACTGTAATGAATTCACAGCAAACCCAATTCCTGTAGCACTGGCAGGTAAATAATTACTGGCCAAAGAAGTGCTGGGAAAAGAGGCCAAGAACCCCTTGATTTTTCACTTAGAAATGCAGAAGTACAAAAACTGCCAATTTTCTCCTGTGTGTGCTTGGTGAGGGTCACCAAAGTGGAAAACACTCCTGAACAGCTTGTGACCCTGCCAGTGTGACCTGGGATCGATCCCTCTGGAGCAAAGTGTGCTCCTGTTTACCACAGATGTACACAAGGACTGAGGCTCGTGTTTAAAAAGTTTTAATGGTATTTCAAAGTCCAGTGAATGTCCTCGGATTACTCTAAAATCACACAGTTGCTTCACAGAATTTAGTCCCAGTTCTAATTTGTAACGGATGATTGAGATGCCATTTTCCCCTTCATTCCCTTTAAACATACATGATTGTCCTCCAGTAAATGGAAATTGTGATTTTTCACTACACTTCACAGTGTTAAAACTCTATACAAACCTTGTACTACTCGTACAAAAATAAGTGCTTCATGCACACATTTTTAATACTGCTTCTTGCCCTTTGCTTTGACATCTTTCTGAACTTTATATAAATAGCTGAAAAAGCAGACTAAACTTACTGAACGTGGAAAGTGAGAAACACTTCCTGCCAACGGCTTGAGAGACTCTCCTGGCTGTGCTCCTCGTTGGCAAACACCACTTAAAGACATATACAGAAGTGAAAAAAAAAAAAAAAGCCACGAAATCCATAACACTCTCGGTTATTTGGCCCTCTGTGACCAGGTTTATCCTTTGTTGTGAAGCCAAACGTGGCCAGCAGCAGCCACAGAGGGCTTGTAATACCTTTAGGGTCACCCTAACGAGCTACTTTATAAATAGGAGGGGTCTAACGGGATCTCAGACTGTACAGCTTATGGGGTTTGTTCCATTCCGGGGGAAATTGAGTCAGAAGAGGAAAGAAACACTTGGTTGCTGCAGTCACCATCTTGTCACAGACCCTGGTGCTTTGCACAGCTTGGGGGATGCACAGGAAAAGCTCCCCTTGGAATGGCTTCTGCTCTGCCACATCTAAAGCAGCTGAAAAATCTGGGGCCAGATCTGCTGGGTGTCACCAACCCGGTTGTAAATTCCTCCTCCCCAAAAGGTTCTTTAGGTCCTAGACTGAATAAATTCAAGTTTTCTTAGTGTGCATCACCACGTAGGATTTAGGATACAGGATTAATGTGTCTGCTGTAGTTATCCAGCACTGGATTCCTCCTGTATCTCCATAGCATCATTGCTCCTGCCTCGATTCCATGGCAAAAATAAATGGATAATGCCCCTGCCGTACACCAAAGGATGCTCCCAGCATCCCCAAAGGGGTCCAACACCACAAAAACTCTGGTGCTCTCCAAATTAAGAGGTGCCTTTCCTGTTGGCGTGATCCCTCTTCCACTAAATTAATTTTTGCTGGAATCAGAGCAGGCAGCAACCTTGATTTAATGTGCAAGCCAGGCAGGGCTCTGTCCAACCTGGGAAAATGTTCTTTGGATATAATTATATTCCTGTTGAGGTGCCTGCTATTACTGGGCCATGGCTGTGAGCTCTCGTGCTCTAATTAAGTAGGGAATTGGCCTTAATGAATAGCACTTTTCTGCTCCTCAGGCTTAAAAGTTTCCCTATTTTTCAGTGAATGTGCCATTTGATGGGAAGCACACAAAAATACACTGGTATTTGCTGATTTTTAGATATGGCTGGGAGGGTGCAAAGCAAAAGGGAAAGCTCTGCTGAATTCTTGTGCCCCACTTTAAAAATAAAATTAGCACAGAAACCTGTTAAAAATTAGCCTCTTGGGCTGGGCAAAAATGTTTAGAATAAATGTTTTTTTGCCTTGGCAAAGAAGAATTTCAAAGAGCCTTGAGTGGCACGGGGGTATCAGGGGCAGGGAGAGGCAAACTCATGTGGCCAAGGGGCACTTCTGCTCTGCCTGGCCTGGGAAACTTTGGGGTGGATGCAGGAGAATTCCTGGTGCACAGAGGGGTTTGCTAGGCCACCCCATCCTTCCCCAGTCCTTGTCACAAGAGCCATGGGACCAACTGTTTTCAGCACAGGTTGTTGCTTGTAAACACACACACAATAGGTGTATAAATATATATACATATAAAAATATATATATACACCTGAGAACCTCTAATTTCCTGGGCTGAGCTTTTGCTTTCTGGTGTGAAAATCTGATTTTGCACCATTTAAAAAATTTTCTCCTTCTCCCCCACTGTTACAAAACATCCCGTTACAAAACTAAAGACCTACAAGACTGAAACTCCGACTAAAATGAACCTTAGGCCACAGATTAGCTTAAAATCATGAGGGTGTTGAATTACCAGACTGAGATTGTTTTTCTTTGCCTTTTCTGCCTGTGCTGGGTTTGAGGGAATTTGGTTAAAAGGCTCCGTAGCCGTCGCTCCGCGCGGCGACAGCGAAGGCAGGATAGGCTTCGTAGGTCGCATACGTGGCCAAATCTTGTCCCAGTGTCACTGCTTGCTTGAGCTGAGTGGCTGTGACAGTGGCAGCTGCGTTGGCAATGGTGTATCCTGAAGGAAAAAAAGAAGGAAAACTCGTGGATTAATGAGAATCCATCCAAAACTCACCATCGCCCGGTAGGTTTTGATGGGATGACTTAAAAGTGGGAATGGCTTGGGCAGCAGTGAGTTTGTTAGTGGGAATAATGTAAATAAATTAAATAATTAAAGGGAAAAATGAAAGCATTTCCTCACCCATGATTTGTTAAACAAAGTGCTGGAAAAACACTCTCTGCTGAATATTTTTTCCTCAGGTTTTGATTATTTCTGAGCTAATGGTGCTCTGGAGGGGTCCACCCTACATGGCATGAGGAGGGCAAGGAAACAGCCTAGAACAGGGGAAATTTGGGCAGGATTCTTGGAGAAAATATAGCTCTGATCCCTTCATAGCCAAAATACAGACAGTTCAGGACAGCCATGGTAGGGAAACCCTCTCAATGCAGTGACAGGGAGCAATTATTTAGTAGACGGGATTTTTTGGGGTTTTTTTTCCCATCGGTTTCTAATGGAAAATGTGGTTTCAACACTTCCAGATTTTCCATGGGAAGATGTAAGCGTTGCTATTTGAGAATGAATCACTGGGAAAATAGCATCATTTGGGGCTTGTTCCTCTGAAGGCAGGGCATAGCAGCTTGTCAAGCAGACCGCAGAGTTGTGTTGTAAAAGAATCAGGAATTAAGACAAAGCCTAAATTTGGGAAGAGCAGCTGGGGTGTCCATTGGATCTGCTGGACGAGGCTCTGCTGCCAAAAGACATCTCCCAGGATCCTGTCTGACCACGTGGGCAATGGGATCAACTCCAGGTCAGCCAGAGCCAAGGTCCTCTTGGTGGGGGAATGGAAATATTGGGCAACAGGGAGCACACATTGCCTCACTGGAGGTGTAACTTTGGGGAAAAACATGAGAAATTCCTTACAATTTGAATGTTGTGGCTCTCCAGAGTATTTTCTTTGCACCAGCTAAGCCAGGTGCAACATCTCAAGCAGGAATTGAGAAATCTGGGACTTAGGGCACATCTGCCACCATCGGGAGAGAAATGAGCTGTGAGCTGGGCATGGCCTGAGCTGAGCTTTAGCAAGCCCTGCCTGACCAAGGACCGGTGTGTGCTGCAAGCAGCAGCTTTAGTGCACGTCCATTTGCCAAGCTCCCAAGACAAATAAATAAGGGTGGATGAAAGAAAAGGAGAGATGCTAATTAAGCAGTAAGTGGGGGCTGGATTCAATAAAGAGCCCATTTGGTTTCCACGCTGCGGAAGGTGCACAAGCCCAGACAAATTGATTTTTCTGTGGCTTTTGCGGACTCCTGTGGCAGGAAGCCGGATAGATGTTTTATTTTTTTTTTTAAATCCATCCTTGAAACACTCCAAACAACTCAGTAGTACTGACTAATGCATTCCTCATGTGCAGCCTGGCACCTGGTGCTGCCTCTCCATCAGAACTACTGTCATGCCGGCGAGCACGGCAAATGTAATTCCTGTGTTTTCCATGATTTTCCAAACTGTTTTGGGCAGTTGCAAGAGCTACGAATTCTGAAACTGGGAGAAAAACCTTCTGTGGGGGTGTGAGAGCTGGGATTGGATCCAAGCTTTCATGGCTGCGTCATTTCTTTGGCAGATGAAATCCCAAGTGCTGGCTCACAAGGGGCTGGGGGTGCTGGGGGAGGACGGAGAGCCCGTGAATTCATCAGCCATGGATGATGGCTGACATCAGGGCCATGGTGACATCAGGGCCAGGGAGGGGACACGTGCCAGATGTGGCACTGGGGACGCCAGCTTTGCATCCTGCGTTGTTTCTGGGGCTCCCAGTTGAAGGAGGCTTTCACAAACTGGGAGGAGTGGAGGGGATGTGTGGAGCTGGGATGGGCCTCTGGATGTTGGGATTCCCTGCCCTTGGACACTGCTCTGACCCCCCTGGACATAATCCCCACTGTGGCATTGACCTGAGGGGCTAGGGTTGGAGCAGAGCCCCCCACCCCAGTGCCCCCAGCCTGAGTTGCTCTGGGGTGTGGACACAGAAATTTGGGCAGTGCTGGGATAGAGATAAAATCCTTTAGGGGCAATAAACTGGCACAGGGTGCCCAGAGCAGCTGTAGCTGCCGCTGGATCCCTGGAAATTTCCAAGGCCAGGTTGGACAGGTCTTGGAGTACCCTGGGAAAGTGAAACGTGTCCCTGCCCATGGCAGGGGGTGGAATTATGTGATCTTAAGGGTCCCTTCTAACCCAAAGCAGTCCGGAATTCTCTGTTAAAGATGCCAGACACACAAGCAACACGAGTCACTGTTGGGGAACACAACCAGGCCAATCCTCAAAACCTGCTTCATTCTTCACACCCACAAGGAGCCACCAGGAAAAATGACATTCCAGGAGCCTTTTGCTGTAGAGACACGCCCATACCTGGGAAAGCTGGCGCTGCAGGAGGCACCTCTGCCCCTTCCACGGGGATGCCCAGGGTCTGCAGGGTGTACTCTGCCGCGTAGGTCTTGGCCTCGTCGATGTAGGCGCTGAGCTTGGGCGGCGTGAAGGGGTGTCTGTGAGCACAGCACAAAGTTAGCTGGGTTTGCTTTCCTTCCCTGCCAGATGCTGTGATCCACTTAGAGCTGGCACCACCCTGCACAGCAAATGGAAGCGTGGCTTCCCTGGGCTGGTGCATTACTAGAGCTGCTCTCCTTCCAGCGGTTTCTCCCCCGCTGGGGTTATCGACCCTGGTTCCCATGCTGGACACAACATCCTTGCAGAGGTCGTTGTGCTTTTTCCATCAAAAAAACCAACCCTACTGCATTTTTTCTTTACAATTCCCAGCCTGGGTTTTTCTTTACAATACACAGCAAACAGTGGTTTTGGTCAGAAATGTTTATAATCATATTTGGAGCTGAAATATCAGCATGTGGCTTCAAATTCCTCTCATTTCCCCACAAGGGCTATCGTTTGCTTTCTTCTCCCACAAAAAAGCACCCTTTTGCCTGATTATGTCTGGCTTTCTGTAGTGTTTGCACCAGCAGAGAGAGCACCAAGCACAGTAGTTAACTATACTCTGTGTATGTTTTTCTCCCTGTATTTTTTAAAAAGTATATATATACACATTATATTTATATATATTAATACATATATACATATCTCTATATAGATACTATACAAATAGAGATAATCAATATATAATTATATATTAATATAGATAATACAAATGAATGTACGTATATATTAATATATAATACAAATATATAATACATAATTATATATACTTCTGTACATATATATGTATATATAATTATATAAACATTTAGAGATGTAATAAATAAAGATACATATAGATATAAATAAATATAGATTTAATAAATAAAATAAATATAAAAATCTAAAATTTAAAAATTAAATTAAATTAATATTTAATAAATATAGATTTAATAAATATTCTAAAAGACATTTAATAAATATTTTTTACAATAAAATGAAACAGAGACCTGTGTGCTTGGGACTTTGAGGACAGCTGTTAGGTAAAATATAATTTAAAAAAATAAATCCTAAGCCTCAGAAACCTTCCACTAATGACGTACATGGTGGGGTTCTGGCTGGCAAGGGCAGGGATGGTGATTTTGTAGAGGAAGAGCTGTCTTTGATCCTGGCCAATGGCAGAGTGAAGCTGGTACACAGGCTGTCCCCAGTTGTTTTTCTGGCAGATTTCTTCTAAGATCTAGAAGGAAAAAAAAAAAATAGGGATTTGTGCTGGGGTTAATTGCTGTGCAGAAGCCTCCTTGCCTAGTTCCAGCCCCTGTGCTGAGCCTTTCCACACAGGGTTTTCAGGGAGTCCTGGCAGCTTCCTTAAAGCTTAGCAAAAAATCCAATATAAATGGCAGACAGAATACTACACCTACCTTGAAGCGTAAGATTCATCTAAATGCTCCATACTTTAATATCTGTTTAATTCCTGAAATTATTCCCTGTTCAGTTGGGCATCTGAGTCCTATTGCTGATTAGATTATTTCAGTGTGGTGTTCTTTGAATCCTCCTCAGAAGCTCTGTCTCATGGACGTCTGTTTCAGAGGACTAAAGGAACTCGGGTTGCATTAATCTTCTCTGCTCTGCTGCCTCCCTGGCTTAGTGGGTTACAGAGCACCAGAAGTCCAAATAGGCTTCTTTTTAAAAAGAAAAAAGGTTGTGTTTCCATCCAATTAATTCCACGGGCTTCAGCAGGCAATTGCAGCTTTTGAAATGCTGAACCACGTTGCCCTCAGCCTTGGCACAGCTGGTCCCCTGCTAATTGGGAATTGCTGTCCAGAAACACTCCTGCTTTGGCTTGGGATTCCAAGGGTTTTTAACTCACTGCCTGTGTGCTGTTCCAGCTGAATTTGGTCACCTTCCATTAAAGCAGGTTGCTCTGACCCGGCCTTGAGCATTTCCAGGGATGGGCCAGCCACAGCTTCTCTGAAAAACCTGTGCCAGAGCCTCACCCCCATGACAGCCAAGAACTTCCTCCCAATATCCCATCTATCCCTGCCCCCTGGCAGTGGGAAGCCATTCCCTGTGTCCTGGCACTCCAGGCCCTTGTGAAGTCTCTCTCCATCTTTCTTGCAGCCCCTTCAGGCACGGGAAGGCCACAATTAGGTCACCCTGAAGTCTTGCTGAGGTCTACCTCATTTACAGCTTACATTTGAATGGATTTAAAAGTAAAAAGAAAAATTTAAACCTCACTGCTGCATTTAATTTTTCCACCACAGCTCCAGCTGACGTTTAGCATCTTGCAGTGTAAAATACTTCATTACATAGGTCAGTTCTCAATTACAACAGTTCATTTTTTCACTGTGGCAACACTTGTTCCCTGCTGTTCCCACTCCTTTATATGTTGGTTTTATAAAAATGAATTTCACCTGCCCTAAGGCCCTGCAGAACCATTCCAGGGATTTCACACCTCTAGTGGAAGGTGCCCTCTACGCATGGCACAAGTTGGTACTAGGTGAGCTTAAAGATCCCTTCCATCCCAAACCATACTGTGATTCTGTGATTTGCCAGCAAAACAGACTAAGGGGAATTTTGCAGGAGGGAAAAATCCCACCGTCCAGTTTTCTGGGAGAAAACAAGGATGTTTTCATAAACTTTGGCAAACTGGATGCTGTGGCAATTAAAGTGTTAAAAGGCAAAGTCATGCTTCAAAATTCAGGGTGAAGTTGTTTTCTCATGTTGCTCTGCACAATATAAGGGGAAAAGAGTTACTGTCCGAGCTGGACATTCAGAAACTCAGGGAATTTATTGTGGATTTCTCCTCAGCCCTCTTCATCCATCTGCATCAACATGCACAACCAAATCAAAAGTCCCCCTGAGCCGGCAGAATTTCTGTGCTAGGCTGGGTTATGTCAACAGTCCTTTTGCCATAAATAATTTGAAAATATGCATTATTTTTCCACACATGTGCATTGTTCCCTGGTGAAGGCCCAGGTGATGAATTTTATGTACCAAACCCATCGTTGGTGGGAATTCCTCGGCCTGCAGTGCTTTTATGGCGCGACAGCCAGAACTGGATTAAGGCATTTATGACAACTCTCCCCTGACACTTATGGTGATCTCAAATGTCTTCTCCAACCCCAACCGTTCCATGATTCCATGAGGCAGGTGGATATTGCAAGATGCAATGGGTACCACTCATTTTTTAATGTCTTTTGAGACACAAGAATGGATTTATTTACCAGGCCGTGGCGCAGATCCAACGAGGGGCCTGCTTTCCCAACACAATCCTTGGGACATGGACGCTCTTTTTGGGGCACGTACCTGAGGGGCGAGTTTGATCCCTTGGGGCTTTAGCGTGACGTGGTTCATGGGGGTGAGCTCCATCCCTGGCAGGAGGTCGTAGAGCTTTTCCTCTCCCCTCTTGTCTCCCTTGAGATGGTATCCGCGGCCCAGCCCCGGGAACGCCAGGTAGCCGCGGCCTCCCAGGCCTCGGACGCCCGCAGCCCCTACAGGTACATTCATGTAAATTTCTAGGAATGTAAGAAGGCATTAAACCGAATCAAATCACGGGAAAAAGGACCCTGATTCTTGCTGAAATGGAAAAGTTAGCCCCGCTTGCTGGGAGGATTGGGAAGCAGGTGGGCAGGAGGTCCCAGAGCCTGGTGGTGGGATAACACAGGCTCAACACTGACACCCTTTCTCGGATAGGTGAGAGGTTTTGGGGAAAAACTACTTCTTTCTGCCCATTTTTTATCATCTCTGGTCGGTTTTGATTTCAGGGCAGCTTTTTACCCAGCTTTGTAGCTGGAAGCCAGAGAGGGGACAGCTGGCATGTTTTGTTACCCACCAGTGTAATTTCACTTCAAAGAATTCACAGCTCACATAACTTCATCCCTATATAGACAAAAATCCTCTTTGGTTTTGCCCTATTACACTTCCATTTTTTTTCTCAGGGAGCCCTGCTTGGGAGTCTGGGGAGACCATGAGGCAAGAGATGGGTGGGGAGTTATCACATCTGCTCCTTTCCTAATGCAACCTTTGGAGGAGCTGGTTCACCTGTGTGGGGAAAAACTTGAGGAACAAGGGGTGTTCCTGCTGCCCTGTCTCCTTCCTGCTGAAGGGACAAAAATTGGCCATCATGATCCTTGCCAGGCCTACCAGGGTACCACACAGAGTCCCAGCCTGCTGTGGGACTTGGCTTAGGGACACAAGGCATCATCTTTGGGAGGAAGATCAGATGACAGAGTTATTTCTTTGCTAGCCCCAAACTTACATCTGCACTGACCAAACAATGTCTGCATTGACATTTAATTTGGGGGTGCATGGGTGGGGGGATTTGATTTGGCTCCAGGCAGGGTCACCCAAGAGTTTTCAGAAATACTCTCTTTTATTCATAGATTGAATTAGTTGAATTAATTGTTATTAAGTTAACAATCCTCCAAAAGGGAGCCTCCAGCTCCCAAAGCACAGAATGGTTTGCTTGATTCCCTACCCCACACCAGGGCAATGTGACTTCCTTGGAAAACTCCACGGCTTTGGGTCAGAAGACACCAGGACTGGTAAAATTTCCCCTGCAACTGTCAAAGCCAAGAGGAAACATAGTGGTGGTGGTGGCTGGCTGTGGGAGCCAGCTCTGAAGGAGGAAAGGAAGAGTGTTTTATTTGGTCTTCCCTGCTGGGGCAAAACCAGGAGGATCCGTGGATTATTTACACTGGACTGAGGGCAATCTAGAAGTTCCTTCCAGGAAAATGTTTTGGGTTTTTTTTTTTTTCAGCTGGAAGATTGTGTTTGGGAAAGACAGGAGCCTAAACCCTGTGTTTTCCACCACAGAAAATGGCATCCAGGAGCTGGGGCAAAGCCAATGTCACCAACACCCATCTGGGGAGCAGCTGCCCACCCCTGGAGGAGATGTTGGGCACGAGGGGAATTGTTTTTCAGTTATCCAAAACTCCAACGGGGAATTACCTCGGACGGAGGGGGGCCGGAGGATGCTCCTGTTGCCGAGCCCCTTGGCGGCGGGGAAGTGCAGGCTGGGGATGGCCGCGTAGGCCTGGGGCGCGTAGAAGACCGGGGCGCCCAGGTAGGCGGTGGCGGGGTCGTACAGGTGTCCCAGGGTGTAGGTGTAGTCCCCCTGCAGCACCGGGGCCCTGCCTCCCGTGCCACGCGTGTACCTCACGTAGCTGTCCTTGTCCACCGGCTTGGCCAAGGTCACCTCGATCGGGGAGCCATCCAGCACCTGAGAGAACATGGGGGAAATGATACCTTGAGGTTTTAGCTTTCTGTTTTTCTTTTTCCTTCTTTTTGATTTTGTGCTGCTCGGGTGTGTGGGTCTGGGTTTCATATAAGGGGATGGTGAGCTCCCTTCACAGAGTAGGGAGACAAAACAATTCCTTCTCTAGCTGGGGACCCAAGGACTGCCAGATCCGGATCTCAGGCCCAAGAGTACAAACAAAGTGGACTGAAGAGAGAAAATAAGAAGGAATGTACTTCATGGGCTGGGGCTATAATTGGACAATTAGCTCCAATATGCTAATGGACCAAAACTTATAAAAATGTGAGGTCTTTTGCTATTTTTGCTTCCATCTTGGAGCCATCCATGTCTTTGGTACTACCAGGGTGTGGCCTGTGAAGGCCCTTCAATAAATACCCTTTTATTCCCTTAACTCTGTCTAGCCTCTGTTCCAGCTGTCTAAGGCAGTAGGGGAAGTGGTTAAAAGTGCTTGATGGAAATCCAACCTATGGGGGAGCTGCCCCACGTCCTAATGGGATGGGAAGGCGGAGGAAACTACCCCAAAAAAGCCCTGGATCTCCTTCACATGGGTGGAGGCTTATGCTGAGAGTGCCCAGCCCTGGCTCCAGCTGGGAGAGGCTCCTTCAGCAAAGCCTTCAAAAGGCCTCACTTCCCTGCAAAGCAGCTCGTAAGGCAGAGAGATTCCACGTGCTCCCGTGGAGAACAGCAGGGGCACTAAAAATAGGAGCAGGGTTAACACCTCTTTGGGAACAGCTCTGGCTTTACAGTGAATTACATGCAGTGCAAGAAGGGCTAAATTCAGCAGCCTCCTCGCAAATCCGCATCTGAACTCGGAGCAGATGTTTGGGCTGACCTCGTTTGTCCCAGTTTGCCATTCACACGCTGCCCTGCCAGTGTTTTTGTTGGCAGTCTGGAACAAGGATGTGAGTGTGAGCCAGGGGGGGATCCTAACCCCTCCTTTCCTAGTTTTTCTTTCAGCTTTTCCTGGTTTGGTTTTTTTTTTCATCTGAGCAGTGAGCTAGAGCCGGGCAAACACTTAGCACAAATACAAGGAGCCAAAATGAATCGTTTGTGTACAACAGAGCTGCTGAAAAACAAATTCAGGAGTATAAAAGCAACCAGCAAAGAGCAAATTGGGATAACACCTCCAGGAGGGTTTTGGAGCTAATAAAGCAGGTGGCTTTGTATAATATACTGCACCATAAGCTCCAGGAATTAACATTTACAGCAGCTTTACCTTCCCATTCAAGGCTTTCATGGCTTCCACTGCGTGTTCTCTTTTATTAAAGTGCACAAAGGCGTAGTCTCTAATTTTCTTTACTCTCTCCACTGCACCTGTGGAAAACATTGGAATATTACTGGGAAGTGGGGATTAGTCAGAAAACAGAGATCTGAAAGAGTGGTTCTGTCAGGTTATGAGCCCCTGGAGAGCAAAGGCTGAGCAAAGGTAGAAGAACAAGAGGTCAGTGTCCCCTCACCTCTTTGGATATTCCAGAGGAAAATCAATATATAATGGTTGTAGCATGTCAAGGCAAACTAGAAGTGCTTGGGATCAGACACCAGTAAGATTCCCATTAAACTGGAGTGGTTTTCTCCTGTCCAAACCATTCTGTTGGACACTACCTTTGGTCTTGTGTCTCCCTTCTGTGATAGCCCAAGCACCAGCTGTGGGAACATCCCCATGTGATCTCCATCTCCCTGTTTTTGTGCGTGCATTGGAGGCAGCCTGGGGAAATTTGGTGCTTTTGCCATAAAACAAGGAGGCTTTTCTCCTTGACAACCAGCTCAGGATGTTCAGGAAGAATAAACAGCCAGCCCTGCCCAGGACAGAGCAGCCCAGGGCACTGGGATGGGCTGGGGCTCATGGAGCAGCAGGTCTCTCCCTAAGAAACAGCCTCTCCCCAGGAAACAGCATTTCCCGTGTCAGTGGAGCTTCCCTGGATGCCCCAATTCACCTGGACATGGCCCAGGTCAGGCTCTGCAGCTGAGGGTTGGCCCTCCTGGGATGGGGCTTGGGCTGGAGAATCTTTCTTTCAGCCTGAATCTTTCTTACATCCAATTTATCCAAAGTAATTCAAATGTAAATGACTTCTTGTTCTTCTTTTCTAAGTCCATGCCCCACAATTTTCCCTTTCCTGCTGCTCTGCTGCCAGGAACTCATACTCTGCACTGAGGAGTCTGTCTCCAAAATAACCCCACCAGTGCTGTCCCCCACGGCCACAGCCTTCAGCCATTTCTTTAATTCCTCATCTTCTCTGCTCCTGTGGCTTGGGAAGCACAACATCAGCCAGCCCAGCCTCCTGTAAAACCCCCAGAAATATCCTTTGGAAACATGGCTAAGGGATGCTGAACAACTCTTCTGTTGGCTTCTTAGCTCCTAAAGCTGAACAGGTGCACAGGGAAATGTCATATTGCCACAAAAAGCAATTACTTAGAAAAATGCAGGAGGAAACGAATTTCTTTGGTGTTCAGGGGAGTCATTAGGAGCTGCAGAGGGCTAAATGAGCCTGTCCCAGCCCACAGCCCAAGCAGGCTGCACATCTTGGAATGACACAGGGATGGTAAAGTGGCACTTTGTGTCCTTCTGGGACAGAGGATGATTTTCCAAGCCTGAATTTATGGGAGCTATATGCTGATGCTTTGTTTAGAAGTGGAAGCTTTAATGAACTCGCTGTGTTTTGAATATCCCCCTTCTGCCTCCTGGAGAGCATTCCAGGACACCAATCCCAAGCCAAAAATTCTGCTCTCCCCTGCCTCTGCCTCTGCTGGGCCAAGCAATGTGATACCCACCCTTGGGTCAGCTCCATGTGGAGCCCATCCATGGGACATTAGAGAGGGAGTACTGTCCCTCCAGCACATGGGGACAGCACAATCCTCCTGCTGGGAACTCCACCAGGCAGGAGGAATTTCCTTGGGATTCCTAGAGAGCAAGGGCAGGGCTTTTCAGAGGGACAGCTCTGCAGAAGTCATCAGGCTGTGAATTTTGCACAGATTTAAGGGGTGCTACTTGTCCCAACTTGAGGAGCACAAGCAGCCTTCCTGGGCCTGCCTGTGGAGCCCCCAGAGATGTGGCAATTGCTGTGTCATTGGAAGCTCTGGATCATTTTTTATTGCATGATTTGTTGATGTCAAAACAGCTTCTTAATGCCCTGGATCCAAGGTAATTTCAGCTAAGTAGTGCTGAAATGTGGCTCAATGGGTGAGGCAGAGAACCACGGCAGGGCAATGAATAATTTCACGTCCTTGTGATCTCACTGTAACTTAAACTGCATTTTCTCTCCCCAAAGCTGGAAGTTTTGCTGCTCTAATGCACCCATTCCTGATTTTAGCCCCCAAAATCAAAGCTGTCCCTTAAAAAAAAAAAAATCCAACATGAACGCTGAAATGATAAAAGGAAAATGAAAGATGATGCAGAACTTGTGTTGTTATAGTGGAAAACTTCTTAGGAGCAAAGCAGATGAGTGTTACCAAGGCGTCAAAAGGCCACAAATGTGTTTCTGGGGAGTGTGAGCTTGTTCAAAGCTCGGGAGCAGAACTGGGTAAATAAAAGAAGGAAACAGTTCAGAGAGTGGGATAACATAAATTTAACTCAGGAGTGAAATATGGGTTCTGCAACAGCTCGATGGTGGCTAAAAGTATGAGCCAGAAATGCTGCAAGGACACAAGGAAAACTCATGAAGACCTTTCATCCTAGCCCAGAAAAAGCCATGAAATGAGAAGTCAGAGGAAGAAAACTGAAGCTCTGCAGTGTATTTTAAAAAATTAATAGAAGGAAGCTAACAGGAGTGAGATGAAAGGAGATTTCACATTGCCAAGCATCAGCTCCTAATGCCTAATGGACTGTGTGGCTTGCAGAGCTGCAGAAACGGGTTATTTTTACTTTGTTGGTTTTGGGTGGAATTTCCTAAAGCTGGAGCAACTCAGAAGTAAAATCTCCTTTGAAAGCCAGCAGGATTTTTATTCCCAACTAATCTCCCCGCTTTTTTTGAAAAATCTCACCCTAAGTGCATGTAAGATATGCCACAAAGGAATATTAAATTAAATGGAAAGCACTAATTATTCACCAATTTACATGAGGACTGGGGGGGATGTATGAAAATGAGTTCAGAATTTAGATAGATCAGATAAAAAGGAGTTGTATTAAATCACTCTATTTTTATCACCGTCCCTTGCCACAGAAGAATGCTGAAGTCACCCAGCTGCTTCACCAACTCTTTTTAAGAAAGACTAAGTGATTCCAAAGCATTTTGATGACACAGGGCAACCCCATGCAGCATTTTGGGTCTCTTCCAGTTGCCAATCACCCTCCTTCATGGTGGCTGTAGCTGGGAATTAAGCAGCCTTTAACGGGATGGCATTTTGGGTGGGAGCCTTCAGCCCCACGACAATTTTTGTGGCATTTCACACGAACATTTCTCAGCAGAAAAACACAGCTATTTTTATCCCTTGTGGCATTTTAGGAAGGCAGAAACATTTCCATTTGCAGCAGTGGTTGAGGAGGCGCAGCACCAGCGGGCTCCTACCTGGTTTGATGCTGTTGAACTCCTTCTCTATGGTCTCCTCAGTGGTCGAGAGCATGAGGTTCCTCACGTAGAGGATCTTCACTGAGGACATGGTGTCCTCATCCACCTCCACCTCTGGCTCTGCCCAGTCCACGGCGATGGGGTGTCCCCACAGCTGGATCCTTCCTTTAAAGGAACAGGCATGGTCAGTGCTGGGGGGCTGTGCTTCCTCTCGCTCCTGCTCACGCTCTGTCTCACAGCAGAACAGGCCAAATTCTACAGACAGGATCCAAAAAAGCCTTCCTAGCTCTGCCTTTCCAAAGGCAGATGGGCACACTCGGAATGGCCTCCTGCAAGTACCTTTGGAGCCTCCGGAACTGAAAGAAGTGAAAATATGGAATAATTCACTTTAAGATTGCATTTCCTGGAGTGCTCCCTAAAGGGAAGTATTTTAATGCACTTATAAAAATCCCTTTTGGCCGGCAAACTTGGGATCCTGCCATCCCAGTGGGATGGAATGAAACAGCAAAAGCAAGGACATCTCTGTGTGTGTTTGAGTTCGTTTGGGGGAAGCTGCAGCAGAAGAAAGGAGGGACACAAAAAGTCCTGATGCATAAAACAGGGTGTGGGTGCATGTGGTCTTTGTGAGGATCCCCAGGCTGAGGGAAGAGATGAATCTAACTCCATGTTCTCAGAAGACTGATTCGATATGATATGATACTAAAGAATGCTATACTAAAACTATACTAAACTATAGAGAAAAGGATCCATCAGAAGGTTTAACAAGAATGAATAAAAACTCGTGACTCCTCAGAGCCTTGACACAGCTGGCCATTGGTTGGCCATTAAGTTAAAACAATTCACATGGAGCCAATGGTACATGCACCTGTTGGTAAACAATCTCCAGACCACATTCCAAAGCTGCCAAATACAGGAGAAGAGAATCAGATAATTATTATTTACATTTTTCTCTGAGGCTTCTCAACTTCCCAGGAGAAGAAATCCTGGCGAAGAGATTTTTCAGAAAATATCACGGCGACAGGTGTGGAGGATAAACCCAGGGACTGTGTACACTGGACTGAGCTGCTGAGGGGCAGGGAAGGAAAAAAGCAAACAATTCACTTTGCTGAATGCTGATGTTGCAGTTGGGTTGGTGTCCCTACTCCTCGAGGCTTAGCTCCAGATTCAAAAGCACCTGATGTGAGAATTTCACTGAACTCCAGGGAATTTTCAGAAGTCCATATTTCTGTCTATCTGCATGCATGTGTATTACCAAGGTTGCCATTTTAGATTTGCCATTAAATTTTAGTAAATTCCGATTTATGGTTCTGTTGAACTTACAGAAAATTCTATTGAATTGGTTTAGAGGTGCTAAATTGGTCAGTTTATTAAGAACTGCTAGTGTTGATTGGATATTGCTATGAATAATAAACAATGATTAGATATTGTTATGAATAATAAACCATTTAGACCTAAATTGTTGAGCCAGTCTGAAGCTGAGATTGGCAAGGGGGTTTTTTCTGCTGGGACTCAACACTTGGAATCCTTCACTTTTTCCCTCCTCACCTTTTTGCCTCCCTGGTCTCCACATAAATCATTCTAATCTGATATTAATCAGAGTAATCTGATTGCTTTGTCTGATATTTCTTTAGTTGCTTTAATCTGATATTTTCTGGTCTGCTTTATCTGTATAATAAGTAATAGAGTGACTCTTGCTATCAAACCCTGTCACAAATTTATTTAAACCTGCTTTTGCCCAGACCTTGCTGGTGATTCTTTGAGTGACCTAAACCACACATTTGCAGCTGAGAGGACAAAGAAAATCCTGCAAAACACTCTAAAAAGGCATCTCTGCTTGGACAACCCATTTAAGAGGGGGTGGGAGCTCCGAAATGAGAGGGTGAGGATAGAATTTGGAGGCTTTTTGGAAGTGTAAATGATCAAACTAAATAGGAAGGTGCTGCTCCCTTGGAATCCCTCGGGAATGAGCTGGGATTTGTGGAGCGAGGCTGTTCTGTGCCCCTTCCTGAATTGCTGTTTTCAGTTCAAGGGTGGAAATAATGAACTGATTGACTTGCAGCAAGGAGCTCAGCTTGGTGCCTCTTGCTGAAAATCAGTCTATCTCCACCCTCTTGTTTAGCCAGAGACAGGAGAAAATTTAAATTTTTAAATGAAAACTCAATTTTTGAGCACTTTCTCTACAGAGCTCCCTCAAAAAAGCAATGAGGTTCAGTTTAAAGGAAGCATCTGATAATGATATTCCATCTCACATCAGCTGGAGACACATTCAGCTCTGGCTTGAAACTTTTTTCCAGTTCCTGCCTTATGCTTGAGGTTCAGAAGACTCTGGCTCCTGCTCAGGCCTTTGGAATTCCCTAAATTGTTTACTGAGATGTCCCTGAACTGGAAACCCCTCATGCATTGCACATGTCTGCTCAGGACTCTGAGTTCCTTCCATCTGTCTTGCTGTCTTTGCTCAGGATTTCAAGTGCTTTGCCTGTTTCTGCCTTCCTTTTCCACATAAAAACCATGGGAAAGTCGTGCTGGAGAACAGAATGTGCTCCCACCATCAGGGAGATGCTTAAACTGAAGAAGAAAATGCAGAATAAAAGGCAAAATTGTCAGTGTGACACATCTCCCTGTAGAAAAGCAATTTCAGTGCTCAAAATCATGCTCATTTTTTTACATAATAAGAAAAAAAAATGAAGTGATGCAGGGTATTTCATGTATAAAACAGGTGAAAGAAGGTGGTTCTGAACAAATCTCAAACCCCAAGGTTTGCTGGATGCTTCCAGCAGCCAGTGTGTTCAACAAAGCAGTGCAGGAGCATAAGAAAGCAAGAGAAAATTGATGAAATCCCTGCAAAAGCACTTAATGTTAAGTGACTTCTTCACCTAATACCTGCTAAACCTCTCTCTCCTTCACAATGGTCTTTGGCTGTCTCCCAGTGCTGAATTTCATAGATGCACTCTTAAGCAATTCCTCATTCCAGTTTTTTTTTTGGCCAAAATATCAATTTTCAGTCCATGCTCCAGCCTGAATCTGCTCTTGGATGATTTCCTGAGTGATTCTCCCTTGTGAGAAATGGATTTGTAAAGAATTTTAAAAACTTGATAGAACGTTTACACAGTTTTGTACATCTGTATGTAAACACTGAGATAAGGTGTGTTGACTTAGGAAGGTCATGGAATAGAGATGATAAAGTTGAGAGATTGAACTAGAAACAAGTTTTAATAAGTTTTAAAATATGTAATAAGTTTTAAAATATGTAAAAAGACTAGATATTTTAGAGAATTAGAACTGTGAAAGATGTATTGTAGTAATGCTATTTGGGGTAAAAATATAAATGATTAGTGTTAGAAGTAACAGTAGTATTGTGTAATAACAGCTAACAGGTTGAAAAAATATTTATAAGGTATTGCAACTAGGAAATAGGTTAGTTTCTGATGGAATGGTGTTAGGTTTTATATTTCTTATGTCTCACTTTTTTATCGAGACTAATAATGGAATAAAATCTTTTAAAACCCCTCTCAGTTGCCCCATCTCTGTAAAAGCTGGAAAAACCAACACTCCCTGAGAGGCTAAAGAAGAGTCTCTGTTTTATGCTTAACCCAAGCACAGGGCCAAGCACATCCTACAGCAGAGCTGCATGGATACACACAGCCAAACCCATCTGGCTGGATTTCCAATAAGCCCAAGCTCCTGAAGGATGACCATGGATCATCAGCACGGTGCTGCAGCAGGAGCTGCAGTGAATCCCACACCCCATGGTGTGTTGGGAGATCTCCTGCTCTGGGTGTCTCTAGCAGAAAACTTCTCTCTGAGGGCAGAAAACCCAGCCACATCCACTTCCTTGGATTCCTGGATGTTGTCACCACACCCCTGAGGTGAAGCCATGTGGATGCCATGGGACGGAGAGAGAGGAACAGCAAGCGCTTCTCACAACAGCTTTAATGAGTTGTAAGGACATGATAACTTGTTAAGTGTAAACAATCTGCAGGTGGTGTTTTCCTACTTCGTCTTTCTGCTCTTCTCAAGCACAGTGTGCGAGGAAGATGTTTTTGTTAGTCAGCCAATCAAATAAAACCTATCGTGTCACTCTATAAAAACCGCGCGGTTCTCGTGAATAAAGCCTTCTTTGCTCTTTCTACAATACTGCCTCCCTCCTGTTCCTGGGTTGTACTGGTGCAAAAGTGACAAAGCCACCCCTCGCCATCCCTGCTGACCTGGGAGCAGCTTCCTCCTGGCCATGGCCGCTGCCCGGTGGCTCTCGTACTCCACGAAGGCAAAGCCCCTGTTTTTGGTTTTATCGGCTGCGCTGGGGTAGACGATGACGTCCACGACGCCGTCCGTGACCTTCTTCATCTCTGCCAGGATTTCCTCCCTCTTCTTGGTTTTGGGGATGCCCCCCACGAACAGGCGGCAGTTGTCCACGCTGGCACACACGCCCAGGAGTCTCCCGTTCCTGGAACAATGGAGCTGCTTTGTCAGGAGCCAGGAGCCAAGAGAGGGGAAGGTTAAAGCAAAGCCCCTCTCTGTCCCAAAACGCAAGGCCAAGCACAAGGCTTTGGTATCAGCTGCTCTTTGGGATATTCCAGTGGCCTTGCTCGGTGCAAAAGCTGCCACTCTGCTAAATCTGACAACAGAGTCAGGCAGCACAGCTGAAATGAAGGATTTGAGGGAGAAACCAAAGCCAAATTTTGCTTTTCCAACTTGAGGTTCTCCCTCTTGCTGCCACCAGGCAACTGCACCCCCCCAACCCAGGTCCTTGTGTTGTCACCAGTGGCTTGTGGCTTCCCATTCACCTCATGACTAAGGTTTTGGGGGAAGAAAATCCTTTGTCATGGAGAGGCACCATTTGAGGGCTCACCAATGCCAACTTTTGTGCAGACCCCAAAATAAAAACTTCCTTTTTTCACCTTTTTGGGGTCCAAGTATCTCTTATAGGCCGGAGAAGTGCAAAACTTCTTTAGAGGAGTCCTTGGAACCAAGGTAGGAAGTGGAGAAGGTGGAGGTGGATGAAGCCTGATCCCCAAGACCTTCTAACCTCTGCTACAAAGGACATCTCCAAGACCTCCATATGCCTTGATCTGCTCAAAGCAGTTCACAACCCATAGGTTTTTTTTTTTAATTAAAAAAGCCATACAGTTGCCAGAATGGTTTATCTCAAAAGGTTTTTAAGCGAAGGTATCAACTCATCCCACTTTGGACTGGCAAAAAACATTTAGCATGGTTGAAATCCAACCAACACGTATTAATGGGCCCATCTGTTGTTGATTTCTGGGTGTTTTGTTCCCTCAAACATGAGGGCTTTTTCTGTTCCTTTCCTTCATAGGAAATGTCATTATTTTGCCAATTGGTTTCCATCCTATTTCACCATTTTTTGCAATTACTCCATCTACCAGAACATATCTGCACAATCTGTCACGAGGGAGACTGTGAATAGAATAAATCAACAACAAACAACCTGAGGGGAACATAATAAACAGCGCTGGTTAGGGGAAAGTTAATTTGATCCAAAACAGAACATTTTTTCCCAATGTTCTGATAGATTTTGTTGTTGTTTTTGGTTTTCTTTTATTTTCTTTTTTTTTTTTTTCTTTTTTAATTGTGAAGAAGAAATTTCCTGTGAAAGATGTTGGTTTTAATGAGCAGTGACTGCACAGGGAGACAGGAGGAGATTTCCCCTCAAAACACAGGGATCTAAATAATCTTGCTCTGGACTGCCAGGAAAAATATCACTCACATGCCAAAACAGACTGATACATATAATTTAAAGTTCCTTTGAAGGTGTTTTTGCCCTGCTTACCTGATTTCATAATTATTGAGTGTCTTTATTGCATTCTTGGCCTCCTGTTTATTGGAGAAGGTCACAAAGGCGTAGCCCCTGTTGTTGCCATTGAAGTCCATCATCATCCTCATCTCGTAGATTTTGCCAATCTGCCAAATTAGAGAGATTTGTCAGCAAGGTGGGAGTATTTGGAGAAGACTGGAATTTTAAAGTTCCATGGGCCTGGACACCTTCCATGGACCAGACTGCTCCAAGTCCTGCCCAGCCTGGCCAGGAATCAGCTCAGTTCAGCCCTGAAATGCAGCTCTGACCATCAGTAACTGATCAGCTGCCACCAAGCCTCACCTTTTCGCAGAGGGGGATAAGTTCATCCTCAAAGAGGTCTCGGGGCAGTTTCCCAATGAAGATCTCACAGCCCCTCTCTGGTGGAGGGCCGTCCCAGCCCGGTGGTGGTCCCCCATATTTCCTCTGCCCATTTTCCTGCCGTGGAGGAGAAGAAAAGAAAGGTTCAGCTATTGATTTTTAAACATGGATCAAACCAACCCTGTCTCTGGGAATGACCCTTGAGGAAGACACCCTCCTTCCCTTCAGCTCCTCGTGAATTCAGCAGTGTCCTGCTGCCAAGGCTGGGATACTTCAGAAGTCCAAGTGCAGACAGTCAGTAACTCCCTGGAAAATGGAAATCCTCCTGGCTCTGGCAGGGGAATCTCCGTGGGCTGTGTGTTAGTTGTGGGCTGGGTAATGGAACACTTGCAAAATTTATAACTTGTCTTGATTTTCATCCAGTCTGAGGATCACACCTGCCCACCCAGGAGGTCCTTCTGCCAGAGAGCAAATCTTGGCCCCAAACAATATTCAAAGAGGTGAAGGCCAGTCACTATTTCCTTTTTGTCTCTTTTTGCTAGATGAGTATATTAACCTGGACCAGTGGAAGGTGTCCCTGCCCATGGCACGGGGCAGGAATGAGATGGGCTTAAGGAACCCCCCAACCCCTGTGATGCTAAGAAAGCCACTGTAAATCTAAGACATACAGGAGTCCCTTATCTTATGGGTCACGTACAGCAGAAAGGGCAAACCCAGCTGCTGGCCTGGCCCTGGAATGTGCTTTTTCCCAAGAATCTCAGGTTGTGCTTGGGGCTGTTGTGCCCTCTAGTGCCATGCAAAACAAGGCAAGGTTCACAGCCTCCACTCGCCCAAAATCCAGTGTTTCCAGTCCCTTCTTCCAGGATGCAAGGCCGGTTGTGGCAGTGCCCAGTGCTTTCCAAGGCTGAGCTTGTTTTGGTCATGGTAGCCAAGAAAGGCTTTCTCAGGTGGGTTTGAAGGTCATGCCAGGCTCCACCTGCCCTAACCACGGGAGGTTTGGATCTTGGAGACCTTGGATCATAAACTGGGAGCAAACCTTGGAGCAGGTGAGGCATCTGCCTCCCATGTACCTGTGCAAGGATCTGCGCAAAAGGTGACGTGCTGGACTTCCCACCTCATCCCTCTTCTGAAACTTTGCTCTCTGGGTTTTCTTTGGTTTTGAGACACCAGTCCCAACCTTTCCCAACATTTAGCAGTGCTCAGGGTTGTCCTACCCCAACCTTAATTGTAATTTCCCATCAAGCAAGGAATTCCTTGAGGAATAAGACCCTGCTTTGTGAAAAACAAGGCAGTGATGGTCAGCACGGATGTGAGAGAGAAACAGAGTGAAAAGGAACGAGCAAGGAGTGATTCAGGAGCATGGATTGGCTGCTCACGCCCCCAGTGAAGCTTCAGGATGAAGCACAAAAGGATGGGACCGTGAATTCCTACCTGGATCAAATTATATCCCGTTCGCTGAATTAACGCACGGAGGGCGGCTTCTTTCTGTGTGCCGGTCAATCCATCCCCGGATTTGTGATTTGATTCCATTGGGAGTGATTATCAGCAAAAAATCAGGTTAATTAGGGGTGCTCACTGCAATCAAATTTAAGATAAATTAAATCAATTAATACAGCTGGGAGGAGAAAGTCCACCCTCTTGAGAAAGTTTAGAGGGTCGCTCTTCCTAAATCAGTTATTTCGGAGATAAAACCAAAACAGAACAGCAGAGACCATGGAAAAAGCAGAAATGTCCTCCTTGCTGAATGGAAATAAAAAGCATTTAAACCCACAGTCACATCCTGGGGAGAGGCAGAGGGAATTTGTAGCCTTTTGGTGGTGCCTCAGGAGATAAAAATATTTAAGTGCCTAAGTACTCCTGCACTGAGTACACAACAATGAGTCCTTCAGGCCTCATGTGGTGCTGACACTGGGAAGGAAACCTTGTACCAGCCATGCCCAGCACTCCGTGAGAAACAGGACCTAGCCCCAGATTTGGCCTTTTTGTTCTTTATTTGAGAATAAAGAACACAGGAGAACCCAAGGTTGCTTCAGACATTTTGATTCAGAGCTGCAGTTTTAGGTCTGGCTAATTCAAGATTTTTTGGTTTGGGTTGGGTTTGGGCTGAAAACATGATAAAACTGGAATCTGAATCTGACTTGGGCTGCACCCTGGGAAAGGGACATTAACAACATGGATTCACTACTGGTGATTCCCTGTTTTCCCTGAATGCTGAGCTTTGAGCTTGCCCAAAATTCATTTATGTGCTCCAGGCACAAAAGCAGGGTCTGTAGGTGCAAGGCTGAGCTTGAAGCCTCAGCCTGACACTGAACAGCAGCCAGAACAAGCCCAGTTCCCTCCTCAGGTCCTTGTAGCCAGAGCTGGGGGCCAGTGGCACCTAGGACTCCATGCAGGAAAATGCTAAATTCTGTCATCCAGCATGGTTGTTATTGCCTAAAATTGCATTTTATCGCAGAAAGGTGGAGGCAAGGAAAGGTGGTGTCTGCCAGGCTTGCCTGGAGAGCAAACAGGGCCAAAAGGGGCTGGGAAGGGTGGACTGGGGGTGAGGGGGATGAGGCACCCTGGTGGGGATGCTGGGCAGAAGGGAAATCCAGAGCAGCAGGAAGGTGGTAGGAAGGTGGATTGCTGTGCCTGCACCCCGAGCTACTGCCAGATTTTGGGAGGAGACCCTAAATCCCCCTGCTACTGCCAGATTTTCAGGAGGAGACCCTAAACAATCCCCCTGCTATTGCCACATTTTCAGGAGACCCTAAACAATCCCCCTGCTATTGCTAGGTTTTCAGGAGGAGACCCTAAACAATCCCCCTGCTACTGCCAGATCTTTGGGAGGAGACCCTAAACAATCCCCCTGCAAGCAGTCCCTTGGCACACATAAAGTGAACACTGCATGTAAAGAAATGCAGGTAAAGAAGTGCAATCTATCTGGTTATAGCTGATTTTCGGAGCATGTCATGGTTTGGCAGAAATGACAGAAACAGGAGACCCTAAACAATCCCCCTGCTATTGCTAGGTTTTCAGGAGAAGACCCTAAATGCCCCTGCTACTGCCAGATTTTCAGGAGAAGACCCTAAACAATCTCCCTGCTACTGCCAGATCTTTGGGAGGAGACCCTAAACAATCCCCCTGGCACTGCCAGATTTTCAGGAGGAGACCCTAAACAATCCCCCTGCAAGCAGTCCCTTGGCACACATAAAGTGAGCACTGCATGTAAAGAAATGCAGGTAAAGAAGTGCAATCTATCTGGTTATAGCTGATTTTCTGAGCGTGTCATGGTTTGGCAGAAATGACAGAAAAAACCTTTTCCACCCAGCTTTTAACATCAACCTCATTTTTATCAGCTGCTTTTGCGGTTCACTGAGGGAGGAGCCAATGTTTGGGGCAGCCCACTTTGTTTTTGGCCATTACCTGCCCTGTGCTGCTATGCCTGTGTGCCCTGAAGTCTTCAACAGCTGCTTTCAATTGAAAATGGATTATTCCCAGCACCAAAAATGGGGAACAAACCCAGGAATTTGGAGGATCTCAGTCTTGTGTCACTCAGGCTCTGCCACACTGAGATCCAGAGACTGTGACTCCAACACTGGCAAACAGAGGCACCTCTGTAATGCCAGATTTCAGATCTATTTAATGCAGAGGTTGATCAGGCTCTTCTGATTTTATTTTTATTTTTCCCATGCTACCAGGTTCTCCAGTGTTTTAATTACTACCAACATGCAGAGGCTGGGACATGGATCATCCAGTGCACACCTCTCTCATGTCTCTAATTCCCAAATGAGTGTTTTCTGCATCAGCTGGAGCCCAGTTATGGGTTTGTTTTGCCCTTCTGAGGGCAGCAACAAAACTCTGCTGATGTTTGTGGTGTCTGTGCCTGCAGCCCCCTCCGGAGCTGGCGTTCAGCAGGCACGGGGCAGGATTAGCACACTGCTGTGCAAAAACCACTTGGAGCCTTTCCCAGGCTGCTGCAGAAAGTGAACGTTCAAAAAAAAAAAAAAAAAGCCCAGCTAAAATCCAGGCTGGTTTTGCACCCTCCCCTGCCTGGGCAGAGACACCCCATGTCCATCCTATAGGGGAAAGCTCTGTCACACTGCAAATCTGGCCCCTTATATTCTGCTTTTGGAGCATCCTGGCTTCATCAGGGAATTGAGGGATCAAATTGCAGCTCTCGGTGGGTCTCTCTCAGCCCTGAGAGCTGGACTTGAGCGCTGCCGGGCTGGATTCCTGCAGGGCTGCTGCTTTGGATGCACTTGAACGTGGATCCTTTAAGGGCACGCATCCTCTCCTGCAGGGAGGAGGCATTTCCAGGAAGGTCTCTCTCCCCCCGGGGGTGATTTCACGCTGAGCAGTGAGCACAAGCCTCGGGGCTGGCGGATGGATGGGAACAGAGCATCTCCCTGGCTGATGCCTTTCCAGCGGCAGCAATATCCCTCTCTGCCTTCTGCCTTATTAGATAAGACAGCCGAGCTCTTCTGGGCTCTTCTCGTAAGGCATCCTGCAAAGATTTCAGCTCTAGACCAGTATGTCTAGACACTGGTGCACTCCAGGATATGCTGAAGCAATCCACTTGGAATTAGGGAGCAAGAGCATTCAAGGTTGCAATGAAGTATTAACCACAGCCTGCTGCAAAACCCGGGCTCTGGGGGGGCTCCTCACAAAGACCTGGCTTTAATCTGTGCCTGGTGCTTCCACACATTCCTGCCTTTGGAGAAAGCCCCAAGGAAAAAACCCTGCCCCATGGAAGAGGGGCAGAATGCCCTTCCTCAAGAACGGACTCACCTGGAGCTGTGGAGCTGGTCCTGCTGGGAGTGGGGTCCAGCTGGAGACCCTCACCCCAGGGTAGCACCAGCCCCTGCAAACCTCCACTCCTGATCCCGAAGGAATCTGCAAGGCCCCATCCATGATTCCAAAGGAGGCCAAGACTGCAGTCTGGACTTCCTGACGCATGGACACAAGCCTGCCCCATGGAGGGGGCAGGATGCCCATCCTCAGGAATGGACTCGCCTGGAGCTGTGGAGCTGGTCCTGCTGGGAGTGGGGTCCAGCTGGAACCCTCCACCCCAGGGTAGCACCAGCCCCTGCGAGCCTCCACTCCTGATCCCAAAGGAACCTTCAAGCCCCACTCCC